GGGAGAAGTTAGATGGAAGAAGAGAGAGAACAAAAAGAGAGAAGGGAAGAAGAGGTAGCATGGGGAGAGGTAGGTTGCTGATGCATCCCACCTGAGTGAGGGGAGAAGTAGGGAAAGGGGAGAGAAAATATGGAAGAAAAGAATAGGATAGAGTCGATAAGAGGAATGGGAAGTATGGGATACTAAATTCCAAGATATTGGAGGGTCGTTCGATGCCCAGGTGGGTTGAGAGTGAGAAGGGATAGCCCCAGTGGTAAGGTAATCTGACTGCTCAGAAAGTAGAGGTTACACACTCTAAGGCTTGTCTGCTTGTAGAGTAATGTCAGATCTTAGATTTGTACCTCTATGTCTTGTAGAATTGTAGAGATTTGTACCTCTATTTCTTGTAGGATTCCTTGTTTCATGAAAAAGTCCTCCATACAACAGACAATATCTTGTAGGGGGCTCCCACCTGTTGAGGGGACCACAGGGCTCTGTCGGCCTGAATCAAACCAACTGTATGGTCATGAGGGTGGGCATGTATGTAGGCAAAGAAACCGCAGGATCCCTGCTCAATGACTTAGTGGACACTGAGAGTCAGTCTGCAGCCCCTATTGTCCAAATCATTGACCCATGTAGTGAGGTGGGTCAAAGAGTGTAATGAATGGATGTAGTGTCTCGTACCTGTGACACTGAGGTCTGCAGGGCTTGGACTATGGTTTCGGCCTGCAAGAGGCATGAATCCAAAGTAGTGAGGCCCGCACGTACCAGCGCAATCTCCTTGTGGAAAATTCTTCATTGCTGGTCAGAGAATGCCATGAGTGTAGGCAGGATTGAGTTCCAGTCATGGACATGACCGTCCCCTGAAAGAGTGTAGAGTGCAGAAGAGATCTCTCTGAGTGAGAAACTCATAGAGCCTGGGCTCAGTGCGGCTTCAAGTATCTCAGATAGGGATGCCAAGTCCCAGGAGTACCTAATAGTCCCGGTTGGAACGTTTCAATCCGTTCCCTGAAGGTCTTGGTGTGCCTGATGTATGGAAAGTTCTTTTATTCTGACACATTTGTGAAGTTTAGTGGTGAAATGGATCTATTTAAAGTTAGTTATTGCTGATGCCATGACGAGCACAAGACTCAAATGACCATCTTCATTGGTTGCCAGACATGCTGTCCCAAACACTTTTTAAAAATGTAAATAGTTTATTTTTATTTGTGATTGGAGTGATATTAAAAACCTCTAATTATTTAAAAGTGCTTAGGGATTTGGGAAAGTGCACAAGTAGCTTTTGTCTTTGTTTTTTAATTGAATGTATCGGGTCAGATGTGTACTATAGTTATTGCTGCTGTCCAGGAGTAGTGGGAGTTTGAACGCAGGACTTAATTTTGTATGTTTGTATTTGCTTTTGTTTTACACAACCAGGTTACAGTGCTGCCGCCCACCCCATGTGTTCCCTATTCAGCGCATAGGGTTTACAAAAATACCCATTACCTTTTAGCTAAAAGCAGCAATGTGAATTGTTAGTGTGGGAGTCACCTAACAGGTTTTACCTTGCCGTGGCAGATGAGTTTACACTTGAATAGCTATTGGAGTGATACTAAAAAAAAAACTCCCGTTATTTAAATGTGTATAGGGATTTGAGATAGCAAGTTACCTTTTTATTTTATTTTTATTTGTGAGCTTGATGTGCTTATAGGAGTACAGACAAACATTACTGAGGATCAAATGAGACATTGAAACTTGTGTCTGGGCTTGCTGTATCTAATGTATGTAGAGAATATTCTAAAGGCACTCGTCTAGACTATTTTTGCGAGGGTGGTAAAAGTCTAATTTGAAATGTTCTCGTCTTTATTAGGAAAGGAATGTGAGAGTTCTTCCTGAGTAGTTAAATTGTCATATCAGATACGAACAAAGTAGAACTGTCACCTGTCAGAATAGCCAACAAAAATTAGGTATGTGTTTTTTTTTACTATGATTAGTTTTTATTTTATAGTTTGCGTTGTATGCCTGTCACCGCCACAGCACACCATGGAAGTTATTTTAACACCCTATAGTGCCGGTACGTTTGTGCGCATGTATGTACGATAGTTTGGAAGAAATGCCTGAGCATTCATGCACTTGTATAATATTTCTGTGCAAATAACATCCCACTGAACAGGGATGTGCTGTGTAGGTAAGTACTTTTTTATACCTACCTCCTCTACATGGTTTCATTTAATTATGTCATCAATAGCATTTACTGACGTGAACAAAAGAGGAACTGTTATTTCCAGAGACTTTTCCACTTTAATTTAGGTTCTATATTAAGTTGGACTGTTGTTGCAACTCTTTTACTGCCTATCAATCTATAGGCAGTTCCTATTGAACACATGAGAATGGCATCTGTGTTTTACTTAACACCTATGTTAAAACTTATAGAGAGAATGGGTAAGGCTACATGTCACTAGAATTAAAGGGACACTGAAAACACTATAACTACAGCGTATTGTAGTGGTAAGGCCACCTTTACTAATTGTTAGTCCCTGGGCTAGAAAAAGCTGCAGGGCCTCCAGCCTCATTCACAAGTGCACATAAATATTATGCCACACCAGCATAAAAAGCCACTTATAAACATTTAATTAGACATACATACAGAGATGTCCACTCACATTAATGTAATTAGGCAGATGCAAATATACACTTACATACGCTTATGTAACTAGCCTCTTGCACAGGTACACCACTTGCCATAAATCCCAGCCTAACCAGCAACATGTAGACACACACTAGCATGCATACATACATACACATACTCTAATAGACATTAGACACACTGACACACTGACATGCATTCTTAAACACATGCATACACTAATGTGTGTACAAAGATACTCACTATAATTTATATAGCGCCAACAAATTACACAGCTCTGTACAATGGGAAAACTATTGTAACCAGACAAGTTGTACAAGTTGGACCCACAGCAACAGAGGGGTTGAAGGCCTTGCTCAATGAGCTTACATGCAAGAGGTAGTGGCATATAGTGCACAAAAGGTAAGGGTAGGGTAGAAAAGTAGGTTGTTAGAATAGTATTCAATGACGGCTTAGTGGGTTTTTTTTTTGGATGACAGTTGCAGGGGAGGCATCAAGGTGCGGGTGGGGGGGGGGAAGCTGTTAACAGTTTAATTGAAATGCTTTCCTGAAGAAGTGAGTTTTCACAGATTTTTTTGAGGGACTAGACACTGGGTGAAAGTCTAACGGAGGAGGGAAGTGAGTTCCACAGGAACGGTGCAGCCCTACTCTGGAAGGCGAACATCACAGGTGGGAGTATGAACAGAGGACAGATGTAGGTGCCTAGACGGGACATACTTGTGCATTAGGGAGGATAGGTAGGTTGGAGCAGCATTTTGTAGAAATTTGTAAACAAGTACCAGAATCTTGAATTGTTCCCTATATCTTACAGGAAACCAATGTAAGGACTGACAGAGGGGGAGGTGTAGACATAATGTCTGTGAGTGCAGAATGTATTATTACTAAGTTATATAACATGAAATATGAGATGCTCAGTATAATAAGACCATTATTTATTTTTGATGAGATTCCTTATACGGAATTAGATCTTTTTAGAGAAGTGCGTATTTGGCTTGGTAAAACAATTAGTCTATAATATCATCTTTTATAGCATTCCAACAATTGTATTGCTCAGCTTGTTTCCTAAAGTTATGAGTCACTTGTGTTTTAAATAGTAAATGGCTTGTACAACAGATTATTGCTCCAGAATTAAATTTCCCCCAAATGACCCATTGTTATAAAAAAACACAACTGGTTATCAGTATGACTTTAAAAGATAACTGGCGTACCTCCCAGTTAACGTATGATGAAAACATTACATGATAGCATGTAAAGTTCATATGCTGCAGAATCCTCAACCCCCTCTCCCCCCACTGTACAATTGTTGTTTTTTGTCTCTCTATCATGCCCCTAATACCCCTTTGTTAGAGAAATTACAAACACATGCACACACCTTTATATACGTACACATACGCACACACATTCATTGCACACAAAATCACATTCATATAAACATACTCAATTTCATGAACACACACATCTGCCTATTTACATATGCCCACATTCATACACACACATGCAGATACATATAGACACACATTCATAGGCACACAGTTATATATATATATATATATATAATTCGGTTATGGTGGGGAAAACATCACTGCTGATTTGGGATTTCTGTGGGAAAAGCAAGTCTTATGGCTTGACTGGTGTGCAGATTTTTGTTTAGCATTGTATTAACTATCTATATATATATATATATATATATATATATATATAGATAGATAGATAGATAGATAGATAGATAGATACATACACACACACACACACACACACATTTTTCACAAATACAAACTTTTGATTCCTATTTAGATCCCTGGTGTCTAGTGGCTTGCTGATGGGACCAGGCTGTGTACTCAATGCACAGCTCGCCGTCACTGCTCTGTACTAACATCTTTTCACATATGTAGAACTAAATATATGCTACAAGGCTAAAAACAAAAGGCAAAAGTAGCTGATATGGGAAAACTTTCAAAGTGTGCTATAATCATATAATGACTACTTTCAATTGACATCAGTCTGCTATTTATCAATAAACTCCTTAAAGTTTTCTCTGTCCTTTCTCTAATTAATAATAATTGCAAGTGATAATAAATGTAAATATATATTTTGCCCGGCCAGGATAGTATTGATCTCAGATCAAGTCTGTGATACACATCTTTCATTACCACTGCATTATTTTTTAGGGTACATTGACCAGCCTGATATAACGTAAAGATATTTTTGACCGACCAACCTAATCTGGCTTTAAGAGATTACTTGCATACCTCCCTGTTAACTAATGCTGAAAACATGACACTACAGCATGTACATTGCATATACTGGAGAATACATCAATCACTCATATAGTCAAGCTAATATAGAAAGCTTTGTTCAGAAATTAAATATGTTTTTAAAAGTTACTATTTCTTACCTTAGGCTATCAGAAAAGGCCTCCACGCCAAATTTTGAGATGCAGTAGCCTCCCCCACAGATTGTCACCCTTCCTACAATACTGGAAACATTAATAATGCGCCCCTGCGATTTTCGGATTAGTGGCAGGAACTGGAGGGTCACATCAATTGTCCCAAGTAAGTTGACATCCAACACTTTGGTAAAATCTTGTTTATTTAGCCATTCATTGGGACAACCAGGCATTCCAGTCCCTGCGTTATTCACCAAACCCCACAGCCCTAAAATAAAAGATGTTCAGTGAGAAGTCATACATTTCAGCCAGTATTCTGCTGGGAAATATAAAGGCAGAAGTATGTGTACATGTTCACATGATTCATGGAAAATGTGAGTTACTCTAAATAATTGTGGACATGAAAAATCTGTTTAGGGAAAAAGAATTTAGAATCATAAATGGTTTAGGTGTAAGTTACATTCTCAGGATGTACGAGCTGTTAGCAAAGTGTTTAATTACAATGAAATATAGTATATTTACAGAGACTTGAAATTTAAACATAGAAATAGTACAGTGCCTGACCTTTGTCACCAACCGTATGAGTAACCCATTTGGCAACAGAGCTTACACTCTGGCTATCTGTGACATCTAAGATTACAGTCTGCAGTCTGCGGGATGTCTGATTCTTCAGCTCCTCTGACCCTTTCTCTGTCATACAAGCTGCCAGTACTAGCATGCCACGCCGTTCCAGCTGCTTCGCCAGGAGATTCCCAAATCCAGAATCACATCCAGTGATGAACACATATTTATCTGTGAGATTCTGCAGTATATGGCTCTGTCTGTGCCATCTGTACATGAATATCAGCATCACGAACACTACCAACAGTATAGTTATCCACATGATGGAGGCAGGTTACGTGGCTAATATAAAAAAAGAAAAGAAACGATATTTACATAAACATGCCGGTTACCTATATCTCTATATATGCTATCGAACTTCTTTACATATGCTTGTATTTGTTGGAGCTTACTAACAAATATAAAGAAGCTCCATTACAAATACACCTGTGTCGGAAGAAGTGGCTTTCAATCAATGTATTCACAACTCTGCATTCACACAAACATTGGCATGCCTCACAAAGACAATGCAGCATTTACACACACATTGGCATGTATGTAATAAAACACACCAGTATTCACATAGACACAGCGACATTCCTATAAATATAATCTCTTCTAAACTTGCCAGCTCATACATGTTCTTGAATTCACATATACCGCAACTACACTCAATGTGACTATACAAACACTCAAGCACCATGCACAGCTTCAGCTTGGAGGTGACCACAGGTATATATTTGATGAGGTTTTGGATAGTAATGTCACTTTAATTATAATTTTAATAGCAGCAGATATATAATTTGCATTGTGAGTGTATGCATAAAAGTACCATCACTTTAACTGTTTAGTTTTGACACTGAATTTTTTAAATTGCATTTATCACATTAATTTTGCATTATATTTACTCACAATGCTCTTACAAACAGATTATATGTATATATAGCTTATTTAGCGCTAGCACCAATTCATTTATTCCCACTTTTGGAATTAGTGTAGAACCCACCGATATTGAGGTACTCTGAAATAGTGGTGGGCTTAACACGATATGGCCATATGATGGAACTGAATCCCCATTTGTGTTTGCTGAGATAGGTGATTTTAAGTAGCATTATAGAATTTACAAACTTATTTTATGAGTGCGCTGTTCCTTAATCTGTATTAGCACACTCAGGAAATATACTCATGTACATGTATTTATTCATTGAACTGAGAATTGTGGAGAAATGAAAAAAAAATTTTACATTGTATAACAAATTATCCAAACTGGAAGAATAACAGCTAATATACAGCTAATTATAATGAACTGAAAACCAAATTGCAAAATTCAGAATAAAATATCCAAACTGTGACCATAGTGGATTTGGGAATGTTTTTCCAATCCAGCTATTTTGTCTTTCATTTTTTAGTTCTTCTTTCAATTACAATGAAGGTTTAGTGAATAAATGACGTGTCTATCTGGGCATGTCCATCTGTATCTTTGTCTGTATCTGTCTGTTAGTGTGTCAGGAGTTATTCCTTGTGGGTTTTAAGGGGTGGAGTTTTGAGGAGGGCCAGGGGTGAGGTTCACCAAATCTTGTTTTGGGCTCAAGTGCCAGTTATATTTTGACTCTAGCCATGCCCCTGACTAACTGGATAAAAACTATCAAATATATATGAGATGTAAATGCAGAAAGAAAAGTCCTGCGCTCACTCCCATCACTGGGCGGCAGCAATGACTACAGTACACATCAGCCCCAATCTATAGTAAAAACCAAAGAAAAACATCTTACCTGTGCTCTCTCCTTAATCCCTATGTATTTTTAAACAAATTGAGGGTTTTTTAGTTACCTCCAATGGCCATGAGAGGATAAGCCCACCTGCCAATGTCAAGGCATACCCCCCCAGGTGGGTCTTAACTCTAACCATTCACCTTGAGCTTCTGGCAAAGATCTCTAATGACACAGAAAGGGGTATTTTTTATATACACCCCTATGCATTATTAACCCTTAATAGGGAACACATGGGATGGGCGGCTGCATTGTAACAAGGCTGAGTGATACAAAAAATGGATACACAGCTCACAGCTCGTCTTTGTAGAGACATTTGGTGTTTAACCGCTTAAGGACCAAACTTCTGGAATAAAAGGGAATCATGACATGTCACACATGTCATGTGTCCTTAAGGGGTTAAACCAACTGTATATCAATTTGAGTATGTTTAAATTCCTTATGCAGGATAAAGAATACAATGTAAGCTTCAGTTTAATAAAGCATATAAATAAAGGTTAACATCCGTCTTTTTACAGACTGTAAGCTTATTTGAACAGGGACTTCTTCACCTCTTGCTATATTCTGTATAGGAATACTTGTCAAATATTCCTATTCTGTGAAATAAGTTGGCACTATATAAATGCCAATAATACAAATAACAATAATAATAATAATAATTGCCTTTTCCATTGGTTAGAAAGATAAAACATTCTGATGATAAACTACATGTTAGAAAAATGAGTGTCGACAGTAGATAAAATCCTTGTATTCCATCTATTTTTATTCCATCTGTTTTGCCCATTCCCTATCTGAAGCACAAGAATCATTCTCGATTTTGTTACAACAACAACAAAAACAGCAATAAGTCTGCACTAAAATTAACTCTATAATATTGTGAGGTCCAAATGAAATAACCCATTATCAATTACCTCATCCTACGCCATGTGTTCAGTGTCCTCACCTTTCAAGTTATGATTAATGCAGTGCATTCGTTAGTCACTGGACTAGATAGGAATGAAGATTCAAAGACAAGCAACTTCAACTGGTTTACCTAGTTATTACTGAAACACGTTCTCATTTCTCCTGGAGATGATTAACTATAGCACATCACGTGACCTGAATCAGTTTGTTCCGAACTCAAAAATATCACATCCTTGTAGTCAGTTTCTGATAGAAACATCCAGATTTACTAAGCAAAGGCTATCATTCATAAGATTATTTTCAATCAAAAAACAGAGAAGTGGAAAAGTAATAGATTTATAAGGTATATTAATTTAACATCAAAATGTCAAATATGGCTCATTTTACTGAACTACAGTTGAGTTGGAAAACTTCTCTTAGTTCGGCCAGTTTGAAAACGGTTAGTGTGTTTTTTTTTGTTTGCTGATAAATAAATATTTGATTACATACTTTGATCCGGTAAATGGTCAATTAACTCAGTTATAGTTATGGATCCAGGTTTCAACCCGCAGTAAGATATCAAATGTTTTAGTATGGTTTGACAATATCTGGTGAAACTGGCAGAGAGCATCAGTTGAGCAATAGAGCAACCCGGGTTCTCCTGCTGAAGAAGAGCAGAGTGTCAGGATTACTGTTTGATCCAGCACGTAGAACTGTACAGCACGGATGACAAATAAGTAACGTATTACCGGTCCTTAGAATGGCCGGATTTAACGTACAAAGAATAGTCAAAAATACTAGCCGAGGTCAGGGAACACAGAAAGGGACACAGCGATGAGGAAAGCCAGGAGTCAGGATACCAGAATATAGAGAAGTCAATAAACAAAGCCAAAGTCAAAACCAGGTAGAAAACTATAAACAGGAACGCGCTCTCAGACAACCACAAGGGAAACCACGACAGGGCACTGAGCAGGCTGAGAACTGGGCCTAAATACCCCTCCTTTAGTTCTGATAGGCTGTAACCGGCCTTTGACCGCAAAGTCAGTTACCAGGTTTCATTTGCATAATTGCTGCTCAGCATTAACCCTTTTGTGGATTAGGTTGCTGCTCGGCACAACTTTTCCTGTGTGGACAGTAAATGTTATTAACCACTTTTCTATAAGCGGATGAATACGTGACACCAGGTTTCATTTGCACAATCACTGCTCAGCATTAACCCTTCTGTGGATTAGGTTGCTGCTCGGCACAACTTTTCCTGTGTGGACAGTAAATGTCATTAACCACATTTCTATAAGCGGATGAATATGTGACACAGAGATAGCAATCGAGGCACCAGTGTGAGGCAGTTCCCAGGTAAGTACATCCTACCACGCGGCAGGATACTATAAGCAATATAAACTATATACTGAGATTAGGCGGTTAATGGTATTTGGGGTGTTTTTTAATGAGTCTGTGGCCAATTGCGCCCCAAGATCAATGTATTTCTTACAATCACATCTAGTTTATATTAGTATATCCAAGATTTTTCCTAAAGTTATATTAAATGCATAAATATTAATTTTTGTACAATGATTTTCCAAATGTGAATTATACAGTATTTATCTGAGTCTGTTTGATAAATTTGTTCAGCTTGAACCATAAATAAATCAATTTAAAAATATCCAATTATATTTCTTAGAAGAGTCTTTATTAGACAACCAAGCCCTTTAAATTAAGGCGCAAAATGTTAAAGACCACACTTGTATTTTGCTTCTCATTTTCTCATTGGACATATGGTAGGTGGCTCTTGTCACGTTTCTAAATAGGTTCTTGCATACTGTAGGACTCTGAATTCTTTCCACCTTTCAGTCATTGGCCACCATTATACTAATTTTTATTGTAACCACTTCTCATCGTTCACTGCATTCAAAAGAATAAGCGTATTTCTGTACCCTGCTCACTTCGTTCTGTGATTGTCTGCATCTTTATGTCGCCACACCACCAACTTGTGCTCATGATTGTCATGATTGTCATGGTTAAATAAATAGAATCTTAGAGTTGCATCTTTACTACAAAGATTTATAAATCTGACAGTTGGTGTTTTTTGTTTTTTTTATCACAACAGTCATTTTCCTCGCAGGCTGAGCCATGGCTGGGGCATTTACTGAGACCTTCTAATGATAACTGTGAAGCACCCCAGATGGAGTATATAACAAGAATAAACGTTATCTAATCTGTGTAGGCACCTGTGTTTAAATCTTTTTCCTGAGTGATTTATTTTCATAAAATATATAAGGAAAAAATAGGGAATACTTTTCCTTATGTATAATATTCAAGTTGGCAAAATGTGACAATGTTCAGAGCTTAAAGGGACACTATAGTCACCCAGATCACTTGATCTCATTGAAGTGGTCAGGGTGCAGTGTCCTTGTCCCACTTAGTCCCGCATTGTAAATTACTGCAGCTTTAGAGAAACTGCAGCCTCTAGTGGCTGTCAATCAGATAGCCAATGCGGGGCACTTCCTGGATGCTAACAATTTTTCTTATTTACATAGACTGATTTCTAAACACATTTATTGTGGGATACACATTACTTGGAGTATTATTCCTATAGAGCTCTGTTATGCACTCAGGCACACCAACAATATTGAGCTCCTAGAATAGAGTGTTATTAGGACAGAAAAAAGGAACAGAGGTAGAATACCCAAAATAGGGACCGTCCCTCCTAAAAAGGGACACTTGGGGTGTATGTAAATATTTGTGTTGCTGTGATTGCTGGCTACATTGGCATGTACCAATTGTACAGCGCTGCGGAATATGTTGGCGCTTTATAAATGCCAGTAATAAATAAATAAATACCAGGCACTTTTCTATCCTAATGTGTCTCCCCCCCCCCTTTTTGTTTTAGGAGCGCCATATTGTTGGTGTGTCTGAGCGTATACCAGAGCTTCACAGGAATAATACACACAGTAATGTTTTTTTATAAAACAATTAATGTCTTTAAAAATTGGTCTGTGCAAATCAGATACATTGTTCTTGTTCAAAGTTACAATACAGTTGCATTAATGGTAAGCTAATCAACTAAAATTTCGCAGAACAGCCCCACCCCTGGCCACACCCCTACAGTTAAGTATCCCTGTCTATGAATTTTAAATGCTGGGTACTTTCTTAATATATAAAATACGGAATCTATGTCAGCTTAATAATATAAAGCAATCAATGGATAAAAATAATGGGTACACCCAAGTTCCGCCTATTTCTTAAATCTTAGTACCAGCTTGCTCGTAAGGCACAACAATGCAATGTCCCCATACTACCTAAAAGCAGAAAGATTATTAACAGTTTCTCAACCCTTCCGGTTTATCTATATCAACTCATTGATTTATGCAGGCAAGCAATCCATTAAAAGCAATAGCAATGTTCTGCATTCCGTCTCTGGAAAGATTAAAATACAACATGAGGTTAAATCCATGGTACGGCTGGTTATGTAAAAAAAATAAATGGAAATTCCCACATTTTCTATCCTGCCAAGAAACATGCAGAGAATAAAAGAGAGAGAAAGAAATGGTGTTCAAAGTTCACAAACAAGAGAATGTCTGTTCAGTTTATTCAGTCCAGGGGCAATGCTGGCTTTTGTACCATAGCGAACATGCCTGCAAAGCATTGTAGTATAATGTGAAGAGTGATCCTGTAACAGGAAACAAATATTAGACACATTTCAAAAAGAATATGTTAAAGGACATTCCTGCAAATTAAAAGGAAAGGTGGATGAAGCTAAAGGCCTGAAAGGTTCTGGGTCGTATTCTTATAAAAATATTGTTTCAGAAATTGATTGTTTTTCTTTTCATAATGACTGATTTTATATTTCCGACTCATTTTTACAAAAAATAGTCTTTTAGTTTTTTTTTATTTTTTTTTCCACTTAAATTTTTCTTTTTATTGAATACAGTCCGAGACAAAAGTTTTAAATTTTTCTTTTTATTGAAAAGTTTTATAAGAATACAGTCCGAGACAAAAGTTTTAACATGTCACGAAAAAATAAAAACAGCATATTTCATAAGATCCATCATATATCAAAGTATACATTGTTGAGGATACAACACTTTCACAAACATAAACAATGACAAGAAAGGCATAGAAAAGACAAATTGATCTAACAAAAATCTTTAGCCACCCCACCATGTCTGTCAAGCTGTGGGGGAATCCAGGATTCTCCACACATCCATAAAGGATTTGAGGGAGTTTATGGCTCGGTGGAGAGAATAGACCATCTGTTGAATATCAGAAATGTGCGCCAATACCTGAGAATGCTGTGGCACCGAAGGGATTTGTATTTTTTAAATCTAAAGATCATTTACTATCTGAGCCATTAAATAGGGGACATTTTTAGGATGCATTTTAATGACATGACCTACCCCATGTCATTCTTTCTAATCTCCATATCTGTATCTGTCATGCAAACCCCACAAACCTCCTCTATCTCACTAATCACAAACTTTGAATTATCTCTCCTTTACCTACGTACAGACAGAAAGTAATGGTATATAATATATCCTAGGACAGAGAAAGAGGTGGATGTAGTGAGTGAAGCTGAAAGGGGTTATGCCAGACTGCCCAAGGCAGGAGGATAGACGCATCAATATCATCAATCATCAATAAACCTACAAATTCCAAATTGCAGATCATAAATGCTGGCCATCCAAAAAACAGCTGAAACCTTATGTTTTGTTTTTTTAATACTTTATTAGATAGCCACTAGAGGCGCTTACGGGAGTTTTCCTAAATGACGCTGAATGTACTCACACTCTGCATGAGGACATTCAGCGTCATTGAAATTCTCATTGGAAGGTATTGAGGCATTTCATCCTTGGACCCAGGCAGCAAAAAGTCTTGGGCTGGCCATGATGGGACACTATAGTCACCAGAACCACTGCAGTGGTTATGGTGTCAATAGCATATCCCTTCAAACTTTTTCAGTGTAAACACTGCTTCCTATTTCAGTGTCGCACTGTGTAGAGACATTGAACGTTCCTCATAGAGATGCAGTGATTCAAGCCTGGCGGGGCCAGCAACAGCAAGACAGTCATGGTGTGGGAAAAAAGATGAGTTTAAACACCTTTCCTATGCAATCTAAGGGGGACTGGTGACCTAAATAGTTTAACACTGCATGTTTGTGTTCCTGACACTATTGTTGTTGTTGTTTAGTCGTTCAGTCGTGTCCGACTCTCCGTGACCATATGGACCATAGCATGCCAGGCAGGGGCGTATTAGCCGCGAGGCAAACAAGGCATTTGCCTTGGGCGGCATTTTTCAGGGGGCGGCAAAAAACGCCGCCCCCCCAAATGCCCAGGGCAGATGCCTAGTTAGCCTCGCGGCTAACAGACATGCCGGACATGCGGCGCTGGCAGCAGGCGGGCGGCTGGCGAGGGAGCACTTCCTATGAGCTCTCTGCTCAGCTCCCTCGCGCGCCGCAGAGTGAGGCTGGGAGCCGGAATATGATATCATCTTCCGGCTCCCAGCCTCACTCTGCAGCCGGCGCGCGAGGGAGCTGAGCAGTCAGCTCATAGGAAGTGCTCCCTCGCCAGCGCCGCCCGCCTGCCAGCCCTGCAGCCACTAGACCACCGGACCACCAAGGAGAGAGACCCCCCCCCAGCACTCCCAAAGGTAAGGAGGTTGGGGGGGGATTTAAATTAAAAAAAAAAAGTTAATGTGTGTGTCTGACTGTGTGTGTGTGTGACTGTGTGTGTGTGTGTATGTGTCTGACTGTGTGTGTGACTGTGTGTGTGTGTGTGTGTGTATGTGTCTGACTGTGTGTGTGTGACTGTGTGTGTGTGTGTATGTGTCTGACTGTGTGTGTGTGTATGTATGTGTCTGACTGTGTGTGTGTGTGTGTTTGTGTCTGACTGTGTGTGTGTTTGTGTCTGACTATGTGTTTGTGTCTGACTGTGTGTGTGTCTGTGTGTGTGTGTGGGCTGTGTTTGTGTCTGGTGTGTGTGTTTGTGTCTGGTGTGTGTGTGTGGGCTGTGTGTGTCTGGGCTGTGTGTGGGCTGGTGTTTGTGTCTGTGTGTGTGATCTGACTGTGTCTGTGTGTGTCTGGGCTGTGTGTGTGTCTGGGCTGTGTGTCTGGGCTGTGTGTTTGTGTCTGTGTGTGTGTGTTTGTGGTGGTGTGTGTGTGTGTCTGACTGTGTGTGTGTTTGTGTCTGTGTTGTGTGTCTGACTGTGTGTGTTTGTGTCTGACTGTGTTTGTGGTGTGTGTGTGTCTCTGACTGTGTATGTGTGTGTGTGTTTGTGTATGTGTGTGTTTGTGTATGTGTGTGTGTCTGACTGTGTGTGTGTATGTGTCTGACTGTGTGTGTGTGTATTTAGAAGGTGGGGCGGGTGGGGGTGGCGCGCGGGGAGGGGGGGGCCCTGAGTTTTGTCCTGCCTAGGGCAGCACAAAACCAAGATACACCACTGATGCCAGGTACATCTGTCAGTCACTGCCCCTCTGGGCTCCAACAACTTCATGTTCGTGGCTTCAGGGACCTCATCTATCCATCTCCATCTCTGTCGTCCCCTTCTTCGCGTGCCTTCATTCTTTCCCAGCATCTCTAGAGAATCCTGCCTTCTTATTATATGGCCAAAATATTTGAGCTTCAGCCTCATGATCGTAGCTTCCAGTGAACAGTTTATCTTGATTTCCTGTAGTACGGATTTATTGGATCTTCTTGCAATCCAAGAGATTCTAAGCAGTTTTCGCCAACACCACAGCTCAAAGGCATTAATTCTATGACGCTCAGCCTTCTTTCTAGTCCAGCTGTCACATCCATATGTTACTACTGGGAATACCATAGTTCTGACTATGCGGACCTTTGTTGATAGTGTAAAATCTTTAGTTTTTACCAGCTTGTCCAAGCTTGCCATAGCTTTCCTCCCCAGAAGCAAACATCTTTTAATTTCATGACTACAGTCACCATCTGAAGAGATGTTGCTAGGATGTATTTAAACTAGGAGGGGGGGGCAAAAGGGTGATAAAACATCAATCCAATTGTCCCCCAAAACAAGGACAGAAGGTGCCTGTAGCAAGTGTGTTAAAAATGATAAGCTTAGAGTCATGTCTACAAATGCTCGCAGTTTAGGGAATAAGATCCATGAACTTGTGGCAATAATGGCAACTGATAGTGTAGATTTAGTCGCTGTTACTGAGACATGGTACAATGAGAAAAATGACTGGGACATAGCAATACCAGGGTACTCTTTATATAGGAAAGATAGGGAAGGCAAGAAAGGGGGAGGGGTGGCCTTGTATGTGAAGGATAGCATAAAATCTAGCCTAATAAAAGTTAGTGAGGCAAACATAGAGTCCGTTTGGGCTACGTTAGAATTTGGTAATCACACAGTAACTCGTGTAGGTGTGATTTATAGGCCCCCAGGACAAATTGAAGAGTTAGATAATCTACTAGTTGAGGAAATAGCTAAAATGACAATGAAGGGGAAGTTATCATCATGGGTGACTTTAATCTTCCTGATGTAAATTGGAAAACAAAATTAGCTACTTGTGCCAGGAGCACACATATTCTAAACTCCCTACTGGGATTGTCTCTAAAACAAGTTGTTGAAGAGCCAACTCGTAAAGAGGCCATACTAGATTTAGTGTTAACAAATGGAGATTTGGTATCAGATATTACTGTAGGTGAAAGTTTGGGATCCAGTGATCATCAGTCAGTGTGGTTTAATATAAGAACAGTGACTGAGTCACACCACACAAAAACAAAAGTTTTAGACTTTAGAAAAACAGACTTTTCTAAAAATTAGAATATGGGTAGAGGAGTCATTATCAGACTGGAGCAATTTAAATGGAGTCCAAGAAAAATGGGATTATTTAAAAGTTGCACTATTGAAGGCAACAGAAAATTGCATTAGGCTTGTCAGTAAAAGCAAAAAATTCAAGAAACCACTGTGGTACTCCGCAGATGTGGCCAAAATAGTTAAAAACAAAAAGTTAGCATTTAGGAATTATAAAAAAAACCAGAGTGAGGAAGACAAAATGATCTATAAGATTAGGCAGAAAGAGGCTAAGCAAGTTATAAGAGCTTCCAAATCACACACAGAAGAGAAAATAGCACAGTCAGTAAAAAAGGGGGACAAAACATTTTTTAGATACATAAATGAGAAAAGAAAAGTAAAACAAGGATTAGTTAGATTAAAAACAAAAGAAGGAAGGTATGTAGAAGAGGATAAAGGTCAGGCTGACTGCCTCAATGAATATTTTTGTTCTATATTTACAGAAGAAAATGAAGGAAAGGGACCTCAGTTGAGAAAAAGGATAAATGAGTCATTTATTACACGTGAGTTTACAGAGGAAGAGGTTCTATTTCAACTGTCAAAAGTAAAGACAAATAAGTCAATGGGACCTGATGGAATACACCCAAAGCTATTAAAAGAGCTTAGTGGTGTACTAGCAAAACCATTAACAGATTTATTTAACCAATCATTGTTAACAGGAGTAGTCCCAGAAGATTGGAAGTTAGCGAATGTTGTGCCCATTTACAAGAAAGGTAATAGGGAGGAGTCGGGCAACTATAGGCCAGTAAGCCTTACTTCAGTAGTGGGGAAAGTGATGGAAACCATGTTAAAGGATAGGATTGATGAACATCTAAAACACATGGATTTCAAGATCAGAGACAACATGGGTTTACTTCAGGGAGATCATGCCAAACTAATCTTATTGATTTTTTTGATTGGGTAACTAAAATTATAGATCAGGGTGGTGCAGTAGACATTGCTTACCTAGATTTCAGTAAGGCTTTTGACACTGTTGCACATAGAAGGCTTATCAATAAACTGCAATCTTTAAGTTTGGATTCAAATATTGTTGAATGGGTAAGGCAGTGGCTGAGTGACAGGCAACAGAGGGTTGTAGTTAATGGAATATATTCGAAGCTTGGACTTGTCACCAGTGGGGTACCTCAGGGATCTGTACTTGGACCCATTCTCTTTAATATTTTTATTAGTGATATTGCAGAAGGTCTTGATGGTAAGGTATGTCTTTTTGCTGATGATACTAAGATATGTAACAGGGTTGATGTTCCAGGAGGGATAAGCCAAATGACAAATGATTTAGGTAAACTAGAAAAATGGTCAGAATTGTGGCAACTGACATTTAATGTGGATAAGTGCAAGATAATGCATCTTGGACGTAAAAACCCAAGGGCAGAGTACAGAATATTTGATAGAGTCTAACCTCAACATATGAGGAAAGGGATTTAGGGGTGATTATTTCTGATGACTTAAAGGTAGGCAGACAATGTAATAGAGCAGCAGGAAATGCTAGCAGAATGCTTGGTTGTATAGGGAGAGGTATTAGCAGTAGAAAGAGGGAAGTGCTCATGCCATTGTACAGAACACTGGTGAGACCTCACTTGGAGTATTGTACACAGTACTGGAGACCGTATCTTCAGAAGGATATTGATACCTTAGAGAGGGTTCAGAGAAGGGCTACTAAACTGGTTCATGGATTGCGGGATAAAACTTACCAGGAAAGGTTAAAGGATCTTAACATGTATAGCTTGGAGGAAAGACGAGACAGGGGGGATATGATAGAAACATTTAAATATATAAAGGGAATCAACACAGTAAAGGAGGAGACTATATTTAAAAGAAGAAAAACTACCACAACAAGAGGACATAGTCTTAAATTAGAGGGACAAAGGTTTAAAAATAATATCAGGAAGTATTACTTTACTGAGAGGGTAGTGGATGCATGGAATAGCCTTCCAGCTGAAGTGGTAGAGGTTAACACAGTAAAGGAGTTTAAGCATGCGTGGGATAGGCATAAGGCTATCCTAACTATAAGATAAGGCCAGGGACTAATGAAAGTATTTAGAAAATTGGGCAGACTAGATGGGCCGAATGGTTCTTATCTGCCGTCACATTCTATGTTTCTATGTTTCTATATGTTGGATCCCAGGAATATAAAATCTGTCACTGCCTCCACTTCTTCCCATGCCCAGCCTTATGTATTATGTATTCCGTATATAAGTTGAATAAATAAGGTGACAATATCCAACCTTATCGCACTCCTTTCCCGATCTTGAACCATTCTGTTGTCCCACATACAGATTCCTCAGGAGGCAGATGAGATGATCTGGTACTCCCATCTCTTTAAGAACTTACCACACGTTGTTATGATCTACACAGTCAAAGGCTTTAGAATAGTCTATGAAGCAGAAGTAGATGTTTTTCTGGAACTCTCTGGCTTTCTCAATTATTTATCGTACATTGGCAATTTGATCTCTTGTGCCTAGTCCTCTGCGGAACCCAACTTGTACACCTGGTAATTCCCGGTCAATATATTGCTTGAGTCGAGCTTGTAGGATACTATAGTGTTCCTTTAATTGTTTGAGAGTTAGACAGTTAACTAAAGTTTTGTTTCTCTGTATTCCTCTTATAAGTTCCTCTATAAGTTCTTATTCTTCCTTTGATCTGCACAACATTTTAGAGCACAAGTATGTAAGCAGTAGGGAAAATTAAAATAAATAAATAATGTATTTGTTTATTATTTATGATTAATGGCTCTATTTCATAGGTATGGATCTGAAGCTGCAGCTCAATATATTAACACATTTATTTGCCGCACAATTTATCTTTCTGGGAGACTGGAAGTAATACTAAAGTTTGCTTTGGCACATCATATTTGCCTTAACCCCTTAAAAACGGCAGGTGATACCCGCTCGCCGGTGATACCACACTGGTGATCGCGATGGGGAGACTTACCTGGCATCCCAGGGAGTCCCCCTGCTGCCGATCTGGCCCTCATGGGCCATGTGAGGACCTCATCATCACATGGATGGAATAGCCGTCCATAGCAGTGCCAGCAGGGGGAGTTCCTGTAATGACAGGTAGTCCCCCTGCTGCCTGTAATAAATTAAAATAAAGTTTTAAAACAGTGTAAAATAAAATAATATATACTTAGATTATATATATATATTATATATATGATCTAAGTAAATATAAACACATACACTGTCTAAGTGTATTTTAATATTAATTTAAATATAATTATATATATTCATATCAAAATACACATAGAATGATATTAATTAAATATATATATATATATATATATATAATATAAAACAAATAAATATATAAATACGTAAAAAAATGAAAAATAAAAAAACAATAAAAAAGAAATAATTAATATATATATATATATACACGTGTAATTTCATTATAACTGTATTTTGATATTAATTTATATATATATATTGATATCAAAATACACATAGAACGAAATAATATATATATATCTATATACATAAATATATATGTATATATCACTATATAAATACCTATATATACATGAAAATAATTTAAAAATATTATATATATATATATATATATGGATATATATATATATATGTGTATATATATATATATTATTTTTTAAAGTTCTACATATATATTTATGTAATATTATAATTAAGTCATTTTATTAATTACAATTTGCGGGACCTGTCTGATAACCCAGGCAGAAAGTCCAGAGAATTTAATTTGCTAGCACTATTTTTAACCCTGTAACTTTCCAAGACACCATAAAACCTGTACATGGGGGTACTGTTTTACTCAGGAGACTTCGCTGAACACAAATATTAGTGTTTCAAAACAGTAAAATGTATTACGATAATATCATCAGTGAAAGTGACTTTTTTCTGCATTTTTCCACATATAAATGGCACTTACACTGACGATATGATTCTTGTGATACATTTTACTGTTTTGAAACACTAATATGCGTGTCCAGCGAAGTCTCCTGAGTATAACAGTACCCCTCATGTACATTTTTTATGGTGTTTTCAAAAGTTACAGAGTCAAATATAAGGCTTGTGTTTCAGTTTTTTCACATTAAAATTTGCCAGATTGGTTACGTTGTCTTTGAGACCGAATGATAGCACAGGAATGAGAATTACCCCATGATGGCATACCATTTGCAAAAGTAGACAACCCAAGGTATTGCAAATGTGGTATGTACAGTCTTTTTTAGTAGCCACTTAGTCACAAACACTGGCCAAAATTGGCGTTCAAATTAGTTTTTGCATTTTCCACACACAGACAAATATTAACACTAATTTTGGCCAGTGTTTGTAACTAAGAGGCTACTAAAAATGACTGGACATACCCCATTTGCAATATCTTGGGTTGTCTACGTTTGCACATAGTATGCCATCATGGGGGTAATTCTCATTCCTGGGCTACCATACTGTTTAAAAGGCGACGTAACCAATCTGGCGAATTTCAATGTGAAAAAACTGAAAAATGTAACATGCTATATTTGATTCTGTAACTTCCCAAAACACCATAAAACCTGTACATAGGGGTTACTGATTTACACGTGAGACATCGCTGAATACAAATATGTGTATTTTATTGCAGTAAAACCAAACATTCACAGTTAAAATGTTATGCAGAAATATTTTTTTATATATATATTTTATTCAAATTAAATTATGTTTCATCGCTAAATATTTTAAGTTTAATGAAAGCCCTATTTCACCTGAATAAAATGATATATAATAAGTGTATATGAAAGAGGTGAATTACGGTTGAACAGAAATATAGTCAAATTCCAAGTTTTGTTTACCTTTTATTTTTAACCGAAATGGGTACATTTGGCTCAGTCCTTAAGGGGTTAACCCTTTATCTTGTTAAGGATGAAGACACGGGTTGATTTAAATAGGTTGCAGTGGAAGCTGTCACAACACTAGGTTGCACACTAGCACTGTAGGAGGTGTTGACTAATCGTAATTGGAAAAAAGGTGGTGGTGTTAATAATAATATCACTGGGTAAGCTACATTTAGTTCTTGTAGGAGATGATGATCCAACTGTTTCCATTAAAAGAGACGATTTTACTGCAGATAGGGTTGGACATAGACAAAGTGGCCAGTGCACACTAGGTGCAGAAAATAGTACACCATTGCCTCTTCTCTCCGGACTCTCCTCTTGTAATTCCTCCGTATAAAAGTCAATTTCCTCCTAGGCCAGATCTAAACAAATGTCGCAAGTAGAGGAGGAAAGAGCAAATTTCACCCCCACGACCACCAACAAAATCAGACACTGGGAGCACTACTTCTTCAGCAAAAAGTGGTTTATATTAGTGATGTCCCGAACGGTTCGCCGAACGGTTCGCCATGGACTCATCATTGAGTAAACTTTGACCCTGTACCTCACAGTCAGCAGACACATTCCAGCCAATCAGCAGCAGACCCTCTCTCCCAGACCCTCCCACCTCCTGGACAGCATCACTAAGAATGCAGCTTCACAATGAATGTAAAATGAGCTGTCCAGGAGGTGGGAGGGTCTGGGAGGGAGGGTCTGCTGCTGATTGGCTGGAATGTGTCTGCTGACTGTGAGGTACAGGGTCAAAGTTTACTCAATGATGAGTCCGCGGCGAACCGTTCGTGGCGAACCGTTCGGGACATCACTAGTTTTGATATAACCGACAAAGTCTCTGCTGAGCTTTCTTTTAGTTGCTCAATGGTGGACTGCTACCACAAATAGGGGTAACTTAGGCAACGGCAACAAATTCCTGGTTTTACAGATCCCTTGCTCTGAGAAACATAAAACATAGAAGCTGTAAAGCTTGGACCAGTTGTGGTGGTAGGAGCAGCAGTGCCAGTGAAAGTGGCAGCACAAATTATTGCAGCACCAAAATGCTGTGAAAAATACAATAAACTCCTGGATAGTGATTTAGACGTTACAGGTGTGCTGGTAATCCCACTATCCTGACAATGAATATTACTAACAGCGATGATGGTGGCTGGAGTGCTGGAGTCAGTGGTGTAGGAGGTGTCAACAGTTCTCATGGCCGTGGAAGAGGTGTTCAGTATTTTACAGGCCATGGCACTACTGCTCATGGTGGCTTGGGGAACGCAACCCCTCCTCTCACCCTTCCTCAGTTTCTTCTTGGCATTAGGATGCAACATTGATGAAGGTGGGTTTGTTTTTCTTATTACAGTAACTTAGGAATATAAATAATCATTTATTGTGTGATCTAACACAACTTCATTCAGTGAAAATAAGTGTTCGTGCTGCAAAATGGGTTGGTGCTTGGTCAATTTACTACTATGATATTATTGAGTTTGACTTTAATAAACTCTACACTGCATACAGAACAGTCACTGCACCGTGCTCACACACACCCACAACAAGCACACCCATAAATAAATCAATATTTTCTTTTTACAAACATGAAAAAAATATCCTGTCAATTTGTAAATTGTTTATTCCAAGTTGGTGTTAAAGGGACACTATAGTCACCTATACAACTTTAGCTTAATGAAGCAGTTTTGGTGTATAGAACATGCCCCTGCAGCCTCACTGCTCAATCCTCTGCCATTTAGGAGTTAAATCCCTTTGTTTATAAACCCTAGTCACACCTCCCTGCATGTGACTTTCACAGCCTTCAATAAACACTTTCTGTAAAGAGAGCCCTATTTAGGTTTTCTTTATTGCAAGTTCTGTTTAATTAAGATTTTCTTATCCCCTGCTATGTTAATAGCTTGCTAGACCCTGCAAGAGTAGTGTTCCTTTAAGTGACAGTATCTATCAGTAAGACACTGCACTAACCATAATCACCAGTGTCACACTAGAATGAATGAAGCAGGCTATCTACCAGTCAAAGTTTGTGTGAGTGACAATGTGGCAGCAACTAGGTAAGTGGATTTATTTTTAATTTTTTACTGAACAGCACACTTTCCAAATAAGGATTTTATTTCTTCAATCACTTAAATACACTTTTAAAAACTGTAAATAGGTAACCAAGATTTACACTAGGATCAATGTACAATGCCAATCTCCTATCACCAACTCAAAGTTGTTTTAAGTGCCACTGACTGTCACGGGTTTGGGGTGAATGGGCTCGGTATGCAGAGATTTTATACAGACCCAGTCACTGAATTAAAAGGTTTTATTTTGAAAACATATAAATATGATGCAAAAGTCCCAATGCAAGCATAAACACTAAATAAAGCAATTCCTTCATAAGAAATAAAAGTCTTTAAGGAAAAATAAAGTATTTTCCCAGTGATCCAGCACATGGCAAATGAAGAAACACTTGATTGAAGCTGTAGTTGAATTGCAGGAGATAGATCACAGCTGGGACAGCGTTGCTGGGGTTAACCACAGTAGAAACAGCACTGCAGGGGTTAACCATGGTTGAATCAGCGTTGCAGGGGTTAATCAAGGTTTCAGGCAGTTTTCAGACAGACAAGAGTTGATTCAGGGAATCCACAGTCAGGAGCTGGCCCTGTACTCCAGGGGAACAACAAAACAACTGAGCACAGACCCTAGGGTGGTCTGTGCTTAAATAGGGGAAAGGGAATTGCAGCCCACCCATGAGGAGGGGTCTAAGGGCCTATGAAGGCTCCTCTGGGTAACAGAGTGTCCCCACCTCCCTATGTGGGTGCGTGGGACGCTATGTCAGTTTGTGCATTTAACTTGCAAACTTCCATGCTTGCTGAGCTGGATTCCCCAGGGCTTTGTCACCCTAAGGAGATCGTGGAGCAGCATGGGGAACAAACACATTACCCAACATGCCCACAGGAGGAGAGGTAGGGGTAAGGGTAGACAGGGTGTGCCTTCTGGAAACAGGACAGGCAGAGCAGAGCAGGCCTCTCTGGAAACAGGACAGGCAGGGCAGAGCAGGCCTCTCTGGAAACAGGACAGGCAGTGCCGTGAGACTGAGAGACAATTGCTATGCTTCTAGCTAGGTTGATAGATACAGTAGTGCCTTAAATCTCACACTAATATCAATTACACAATTATAATCTCCTATCTTCAATTCAATGTTGTTTCAAGTTGCAGTATGTAGCTAGGTAGATACAGCAGAAAGCTAAACCTAGTCTCACACTAGAATTAATGACACAGACTATCTAGCACTCCCATATAGGCTCAGCAACCGTAATGCACCCAGAATTACTTCTGGTCTGTCCCTCTCAATAGCTGAAAGTGTCTGGAAAAAGCCTGCTTAGAAGTATAGATTTTTTTTTACTTCACATTTTTTCTCTATTGGTCAGTTGTCACTGGATTTGTGAAAATCAACATTTCCCTATCGATCATCTTTTTTTCTACCACTTGTTTGGACAGGAGGTATAACCCACATAAATGGGCAGACCTTTTGTTCATTATGTCAAACTAAGCTGCTTATTTACCCCTACCAAACCAAACAAACAAAAAATAGACTCTTATCCATTCCCTCCCCTTTTTCTTGGTGCCAGGAATGGCTCTCTGAATCATCAATCGAAGTGAGTATGTTTGGGCATTGTGCAATCTGTTTTTTCAGAGATTCTGGCACTTGGCGGTTCAAAAATTGGAATTTCAGCCAATTGGCCAGAATTTGGATGATTTGCAGTTCAGACAGAAATTAATATCAGAGTCTAGTTTGTATTAACCACTCCATTGAAGAAAACAGATGTAAATCTTTCTATAAATTATGTATAAACTATTCTATTACCCTTATTGATTTTGTAGCCAATCATTATAATGTTTTTAATTTCTCTAAAAACTCTTTCAAATATTTCACTGTAAATTTAAAGGTATACTGTAGGTATATAGCCATTTAATCTCAATACATTAGTTATACTGCCTGGAGCCTAGTGGTGCTGTCCCTCCATTCTGGATTAAACCATTTTCACAGTTTAGCCCTAAATAAGGGGCCTTGGCCACAAAAAGTCCAGCTCCCACTGGAGGTCTGACTAAGAAAGAAATCACATACTTCATTCTAGACATGCCAATTGATACAAGCAATGAGCACTGTGATAGGCTGAAGAAAGTCAACTGATATTCCTCAGAACCCATTGCTGCTCAGGCTCATGCTTGCTTATTAGCACAGGCAGCATAAAGTAGATGGACTGCTGAGCACTCGCATTTATCATTAAAACATAAAACCCTTTAAGGGAACACTATAGGGTCTGGAACACAGATATGTATTCCTGACCCTATATTGTTTAATCCACCATTCAGGTGGCTTGCCTCTCCTTAGCCCCCTTAGAAAAAAAAATTTTTTAGGTGGAGTTATGTTTTGTAGTACTGGGAACAGGGGACAGAACGCAGTGCTTCTACCCCCCAACTGCCGTGACTTGACTGGGGTCCTGGAACCTCCCCGTCTTGGAGAAGGCTAGGGGACTTGCTCTATCCACTCCCAGGGACTGGACAACACACAGTCCTGGGAGCTGGAGTCCTTACAAGGACTTTACCTGCTAAATCCTCCACGCTTAAACAAGCTGGAACAGTGATTAGCCTTTTCCCCTCCCAGTAACCAGACAACACATAGTTCTGGGAGTACAAGTTGGAATGCTTTAATCAGGCCAAAGGGCCTGCTTTTATACATTTCAGTCACAGCAAACCCGCCCAGGGCACTCCCACAAACACACCCACAAAATGTTCAGTGTTACCATGACTCAGCCTTAAAACATAAAATAGGAAAAACACATCAAAATACATATTTCCCACATAGGAACCCCGACAGTATATATTTCCCCGGATAGCCTGGATCTGAGCGCCCAACCTATCCGAAAAGTGCTCAGATCCCACGAACACAGATTTAACATCCCCGGGGTAAAGTTCTGACCGGTTGCACACATGGTCCTATGCCCAAAACAGTTCCAGGGCATTTGGTGCTTTTGCAAATTTGGGAGTTCCATGCAAAAGAAATACCGAATGCACACTCTGGCTTTTTGGTAGCGTTTGTTCGTTGGGTTTATACAAACGGCGCTCTCCTGATATCTGTGGGGAAGAAGCAGGCGTTTGTCAAAGTTCAGCAGTGTTCTGGAATTTCAGTGTCCGAGTTCCATGCAATCGACTCCTAAACACCGCTGCCTGCATTCTCTTTTCTACACATCCCTCTCAATAAAAGTGATATCCTGCTCAGAGCGACTTACCTTTCATAGTTTGCTTTATTTGCAAAGACTGTCACATGACATTATTTTTCTATTTAACCCCTTCAGGACGGAGTCAATAGTACACGTTCTGATCAAAACAAAACCTGGAATTTGCGCTATATGTCTGTTCAACTGTAATTCACCTTATTTTAAATGCACCCACACTTATTACATATCATTTTGTTCAGGAGAAACTGGGCTTTAATTTCTCATGAACTAATCATATTTGAAACATAATTTATTATGAATAAAATTTAAAAAACTGTGAGAAATTAAGATTTAAAAAAAAAAAAATTGTAGACATTTTAGCTGTAAATGTCATAATACCGTTAGCTTTAACTGCAAGAAAACACATATTTGGATTCAGCAGTCTCAAGAGTACAACAGTACCCCCCATTAACAGTTTTTATGGTGTTTTGGAAAGTTAAAGGGTCAAATATAGCACATTCCATTTTTCAGTTTTTTCAAATTGAAATTCGCCAGGTTTGTTATGTTGCATTTAAGACCGTGTGGTAGCCCAGGAATGAGATTTACCCCCATGATGGCATACCATTTGCTAAAGTAGACAACCCAAGGTATTGCAAGTGGGGTATGTCCAGTCTTTTATAGTAGCCACTTAGTCATGCTGGCCAAAGTAAGCATTCATATTTGTTTTTGTGGGAAAAAAGCAAAAAAACTAATATTTAGCCAGTGTTTGTGACTAAGTGGCTACTAAAAATGACTGGACATACCCCATTTGCAATACCTTGGGTTGTCTACTTTTTCAAATGGTATGCCATCATGGGGGTAATTCTCATTCCTGGGCTACCATAAGGTCTCAAATGCAACGTAACCAATCTGGCAAATTTCAATGTGAAAAAAATGAAATGCAAGCCTTATATTTGACTCTCTAACTTTCCAAAACACCATAAAACCTGTACATAGGGGGTACTGTTATACTTGGGAGACTTCACTGAACACAAACATAAGTGTTTCAAAACAGTAAAACATATTACAACAGTAATATCGTCAGTAAAAGTGCCGTTTGTGTGTGAAAAATGCAAAAAAAGTCACTTTTACTAAATATATCATCGTTGTAATTCAATTTATCATTTTGAAACACTAATATTTGTGTTCAGCGAAGTCTCCTGAGTAAAACAGTACCCCCATGTAAAGGTTTTATGGTGTCTTGGAAAGTTACAGGGTTAAATATAGCGCGTGCGAATTTAATTCTCTGCACTTGCTGCCTGGGTTGTCAGACACGTCAGTCATTAATTAAACCACATAATTATGTTAAAATATTACTTAAGCATTCACGTAGAATTTTTATATATATATGCATATATATGTATTTAAATTCTACGTGTATACTTATGTAGTTATTCATGTAATTATATATATTTATCTATATATAAATATTTGCAGTTATTTGTATTTTATATATAGATAGATATACATAGAATATCATTCTAAGTGTTTTTTTGTTACCAATATATATGTATTAATAACAAAATACAGTTAGAATGAGATTACATATGTATATATAATTTATTTAAATTTAAAAAATATATATTTTATTTATTTTATTATTTTATCTATTTACTATTGTAATTATACGTATATATAAACATAATATATATATATATATATATATATATGTATTATATATAAAATATATATCTTATATATATTTAACGTCATTCTAAGTGTATTTTAAGATTAATATATGTACTTATATTAACATTAAAGGACCACTCTAGGCACCCAGACCACTTCAGCTTAATGAAGTGGTCTGGGTGCCTGGTCCTTCTAGGGTTAACCCATTTTTTCATAAACATAGCAGTTTCAGAGAAACTGCTATGTTTATGAATGGGTTAAGCCTTCCCCTATTTCCTCTAGTGGCTGTCTCATTGACAGCCACTAGAGGCGCTTGCGTGCTTCTCACTGTGATTTTCACAGTGAGCACGCCGTCCATAGGAAAGCATTGAGAATGCTTTCCTATGTGACCGGCTGAATGCGCGCGCAGCTCTTGCCGCGTGCGCATTCAGCCGGGTGGATCGGAGGAGAGGAGGAGAGCTCCCCCCAGCGCTGGAAAAAGGTAAGTTTTACCCCTTTTCCCCTTTCCAGAGCCAGGCGGGAGGGGGTCCCTGAGGGTGGGGGCACCCTCAGGGCACTATAGTGCCAGGAAAACGAGTATGTTTTCCTGGCACTATAGTGGTCCTTTAAAATACATTACGTTAAAATACTTTACGTATCACGTTACATATATATAAGATGTATATATATCAGATATATAATACATATATTATATATATATATATATATATATATATATATACACATACCAAAAAGTAAAAGTCTCTGGGGTGGTCTTCCTTGGAGTTCCGAACTCCAAGGAAGACCACCCCAGAGACTTTTACTTTTTGGTATCTGTATATACAGTTTTACTTTGCTTAATTGTTTTTTTTTTTTTTAATAAATTGTTACTTTTACCTTATACATCTGGTAGTGGATCTTCAACTGCTTCCTGCATTTTCTAAAGAAGGGTAGTGCCTCCCTTAAAGGCACCACACGCTTATACATAGAGCCTAGTACAATTGGCTCTATTCCAGGTGAGCACATTCATGCACTGTTATATGTGACCACTTGTTTATTTTAAACATACTTGCACTAGGATTTTTGTCCTTTTTTATCCACATATGTTGTGAGCTGTATATCTGGAGAAGGTCTGGTATTACCAAACATACCTCAGCTGTTGTGATTTGAGCCAATCTCCAGGCTCTTTACCATGTGAGTTGGACATACATCTTCTTCCACTCCATTCACACCTTACAAGCATACTGCACCATGATGTGTATTTTCTTGTTGTAGATTTTATTATGCTGTCTGCCCCTTAAAGTGATATATACGTTATTCCAATAGGGGTAAGAATTTGATATTTAGCGCTCCACTGAGTGATCTTTTGGTGGTAGTACGATCCACTAAGTTCACTTTTTTCTTTCACATTGTGTTTGTGTAGGATTGGGATACCTGCATGCGTGTTTGAGCTGCTGTTCTATTTATATATTATTGTTAAGCGCCTAATTGCACAGAGCACCTTTTTCATATATATACACACATTTATTTTATTTTAAAACATGTTTAATTTTTTTTTTTTACTTTCCCACCAGCAGGGGGACTGTCTGACATTTCAAACAGTCCCCCTGCTGGCAGATTCACAGCCAGCTATAGGGGGCCATGTGATCGCTCTTTGAGAGCGATCACATGGCCCCCCGGGGGCCTCATTTGCCAGGGGAGGGCTGTCTGGGCTGTCAGGCAGTCCTCCCGAAGAGGATCACGGCAGAGGTAAGTCCACCGGAGCTCCTGGGGCTGAAAGCTGTTACGGCGTTCTATGCCACCGCAACGGCTTTAAAGCCCATTTAATGCGAGGCGGCATAGAAAGTCGTAACGGACCACTCTACACCCCAAATCCTCTTCAGTTTGCTGAACTCCTTTATTGGTAAGGAGTATCCTAGTTTAACCCCAGTTTATAAAAGCGATGAGAAATCAGCACTTTTATAAATTAACCAGGGATCCAATCAATCAGTCAGGGAGGATTTCTTCCTACTTCCACTAGCTCCCCTGAGCAAACAGAAGTGGCAGGAACGCTCTACTTGAAGGTGCCTACCTCACATACCTCAGATCAGCACTTCGGCTCCAGACGAACCGGTGCGCTTCCAAGCAACGTTGTGCACGTGGGGACCAATTTCTTATTGGTTATTTCCCTGTGAAGAGCCTGGAAGTCCCTTTTGGGAAAAAAGGTGAGGGCCTATAAATGCTGCAGTCAAAGGAACTGCAGCTTTTGTAAGCTCTTTTGAACTATGCTCCCAATGAATACATACATACTATGCATACATGTATTATTTGAGGGAATATCTACTAAATTGTGTGGGTTTTTTTTAGGTTTTTTTTTTTTTTTTTAAAGGACCAAACTTCTGGAATAAAAGGGAATCATGACATGTCATATGTCACACATGTCATGTGTCCTTAAGGGGTTAAAGAGAAATGGACTCAGGACCAAATATTTTCAGGTTTATTTACTAAAGTTAGAATTCAAAGTCAAATAAAAGTGAACTGCAAATTTAAGGTCAAAACAGAGAATCTGAAAAATTTGCTTTGTGCTTTGACTTTGGCTACTCTTATTCACTTTGAATACACTTCGAATTATCACTTTAGTAAATAAAGCTGTAAGACACAAAAATATTCATAATGAAAATTGTGTAGCTGCTTAAAACATTTTTCCATAAAAAAAAAAAAAAGAACTACATTTGTTGTCTTATATTAAGCTTAAACAAGGACTCTATATTTTATCCACCCTGGGCTTCCACTGCCACAGTGAAGGCACAACTTGCTGCTTCCTGTAAATAGGAATAAGAGCCATTGCGGCATTCAATGTCTAGCAAAACCCTTCTTGAATCTTGAGTTCCACATGTAACCTTTTCCAACACAGGTCTATTAAAAGGCAGCTCCACCATATATGTATCAGTGAATCCAACATCTCCACAGTGCCACCAGCAAGCATCAGGGATAATCGGGATGGACATATGAATCCACACTGGGGTTCAATACAATCGGGAGATAAGCTTAAACCTTTTTTACAGTTTTTTTGAGAACTTTTTTAAATGGTTAATCAAGTTGTATAAAAAAAAATAAAAAAAAACAGACCAGCAGACAAAGACATGTCATAAATATATTTTAATTGATGTTAAAATTACAGATTAATCTGTTTTTACAACTTTGACTTCATGTTCTTCAAATTTCTCTCTGTCTTTTGTTTTGATGAGTGAAAACGTTGAACTTGATAAAATTCTCTGCTTCAAAAATAAATACTTGCTCCTACGTATGACGTTACCATGATTTTGAAAGGTACACAAATATGCATGTTTTGTGTTTGTTCTCTTATAATGATAATTTACTATGTTGATTTTAGTCTTATGTACTTAACAAATCACTTACTCAGCAAATTTGTGTTTTTTTTCGGGGTCAGCACTGAATGGTATCCTTTCCGGAACTATTGTATCTTTGTTGGCAACTTCCTTGTCTCATTGATTTTTTTTTCTTCCTGTCTCCCTCCTTCCCAGTAATGTCTTGAAAGTGAAGCTTCCAGGAATTGTTATTTTCAGATGATCTTTTTTACTCTTGCCCCTGACCTATTAGAAAGTTAGTTATGTTGAATCACTTTCCATACTCAACTCAACACACAATTTCTGCTCTCAGATTAATATATTTGGGGTCCATTTTATTACAGATTAATAACAGATTACAAAATCGGTGAAAATAGATTTTATCTCTTTAAGCACTATTTTCCCTGAGAATCTCCAGCTAATTAATAGTTATAAGGCAGACTTCAACGTAAAAAAAAGTTGCCTGGATCGGAGATAACATTTTCTATGTGAAATAGCTATTTTTGCATAGAAAATAAAATTTTACACAGAATAATGGGAATCACCATTAAACAAGTTAAAACCATAATACTAGATATATAGTTTATGAAAAAGTGCTGGTTTATTAATTCCAAAAACAGAAACCTGACTTACTGTAAATTCATATTTATTTATTTTTAGTAATAGGGGTAGTAAACATGTGTATTTGTTCTACCAGGGAATGGGTTAGACAAAAATGTCAATATTTTTTTCCCATCTCCTGCATTCACTATATAACCTTATTAGGTCCCTAGGAGCTCTCTTTCCCCAAACATATAACATATATAATATACCAAAATACATGGGATACATCTAGAATGATTGCATATTAAAGGGTGGGTCAGGTCTTCTCTGGAACAACTTCTTACAGCACTTTTTATGTCAAAACAAATGCTCCAATGAGGCCAAGTGTTTTGCCTATAGTGTTTTGAACAGGATGCATGAAGGACAGTTTGCTTCCCTGCAGATATCAGGATATGCAAATGCTTTTTACTTACCTGGAGGTATTTGTGGAAGAGTCTCCAGGGTCATTCCTTCACACTCTAGGGCAGAGCCCAGGCTTTAGTGATTGTGCTCCACTTTTTTTAATAAATTATTTCTCTGTGTTCTTGATATGTAAAGTGTGCATTTTTTGTTTTATTGAGACTATAACTAAGGTTCAAAATACAAAGTATATTTACAGTTTCATGTGTGCTCTTATTATTAATGTATCAGTTTCTCTTGCTTGCATTGCAATGATAATGTCAGACATCCCTCCAATTTTCCCTCATCTCATGCCACCATCGCTATTCTTCCATATTCCCACATTTCATTTTATAATAGCCAGCTAGTCATCCTCATTGTTACATCACATGCCTGCATAACCAGTCCTTCCCATTCTCATGCCACCATTACCAGCCAACCCACCCCTTGCTATCATTGCCAGCCACCCGTCCTCATTCCCACATATCATACCACCATAACGTGTCCTCCCCATTCCCATGTCTCTGTTGTTAGCCATCCTCCTGTATGCCAATATTACTAAGCCGACACATTACAATGGCACCTTCCTATCCCAGTCTACCCCATTTTCACATCTAGTGCCAACCAGATCTCCCCATGCAGTCACTACATGCAAGCCCTTCTATACAAATGTTACCATTCAAATGCCACCTTAGCCAGTCAGCCCTCCACATGCGATCATAGTGAACTAGACTCCACAATTTACTTGTCTTATGCCACCATTCCAGATGTCCCTTGGTTTGAAGCATACTCTAATGTCTGGCATGTGAAAAATAAAATATATTCTTCAGAAATGCAATCAATTTACCGTCTTCCTGGGAGGCAGAAACAGAGCTAAGGATTTTAGCAGAGGCATACAGAAGGGGCTTCAACCGTAAAGGAAACCTTTTTTAAAAACATTCAACAATTTAGCAGATATACCACCAACATATATCTAATTTTTATTGAATAGGCAAGAGTTGAATGTACCAATAAAGATAAAACAAAACTTTTATTAGTAATTAGAGTAAAATGATAGAAAAGAGAATATTCAAATACTGTGCGGTAAGGTCTCCTTATATACAATTATACAGAATTAGGTCTGGGTTGTTAGGTATATTCCAAAGTAATGCGCAATTATACTCTTAAGCATTTAGATCTGTATTCGTGCAGTAAGGTCTTCTTATAAAGTCTCCTTATTTGCAATAGCACAGAATTATATCAAGATTATTAGGTAATGTTTTGTATCAGTATGCCATTAATGATAGTGGACAGAAAAAACTGGCCTGGTAGAGTGGAAAAAAAGGATTGAGCAGAGACAATGTACTAGGGTTGCTACCCGTGGAACAGGTTACTAATTCACAACAAATCTCAACTAGTATAAATTCAGCCCCCATGTTGGCTAAGATATCGTAATGAAAAATAAGAATACTAAATCCTAAACGTGCCAGGAGATGAGTACTGAAATACAACAGATAATCGATAATATTGAAATAATTGCTAAAGTAGATAAAGTAGATATAACCGTGACGCACAGTATTGCAAAAATATAGAAACAATCTTATTAATATTTCTGCATCGATGCAAACACCACACAAATACAGATTTAATTATATACAAGCATAATTGTGACACTATTACCTAGGCAACAAATTGCATATGATTACGATTGTCGTATTACTATGTGGGAAACACTACTAATAGTATACCAATACATGTGTGTATAGACTTGTATTTAAATTTCGTTTTTTAACTTCACCTTGAGCACTAAAATATCACTTAAATGAATATTTTCTCTCCGTTCATTTTACTCTAATTATGTGGCTTTCCAATCACAGACTTCCCAATGCAGCTTGCAGAAACTGTAAATCTTAAAAACCCTACTTTCTAACCCTGCCCTGACTTCCCAATGCAGCGCAATAAAATAGGCAGATACTCTAAACTATTGCTGCCTCTCAAGTTTAGCTCTAGTGAGCAAATAAAGACAACCAGGAAGTAACAGGACCTGTTATCTGATTGACAGCCAAAATAGTGTAACTAGATTAATTTAAAACAGTGTCAGTTTCTATTAAAATCAGCACTTTTTGTAAAGTGAAAAAAGAGGACACACTCAACACTCATAAAAACCATGTTCCTTTTGGTGTTGCCTTTTGGTATTCCTAACTCTTCTGGTTGGGACAGCTTGGTTCCATTTATTACAACTGATAGAAGGAAAAATAACCTGATACCTGGGGTATAAAAATAAAATAAATAGCTCCTTAGTTGACAGAACCATTTTCTGCTCCTGCCTACTTAAGTGGTCTTACTCAGTTACAAATTTTTTTCAAAATAATCTACGTAATGAATAATTCCATTAAATATATATTTTTAAAGGAAACAGAATAGTCTATCTTATGTCTACACATCTAAACAATCTTATTTTTTATTAGTTTTGTCTGAAAGAGAGAATGTTGGATGGTTAACTCATCCACTTCGTTATTAGATCTACTGGGAGGATGTTCCATGCATCTACAACTGTTTATGAAAAAAAGTATTTGTTGCTGTTACCTTTATTTCTTTAAAGCTTCATGGGTAGTTACCTAATGTATGTCAAAAATAGTATTCTCTGCTCTAGTACTTTGATAAATCTTTGAGTTTTTGTTAAAGGACCACTCTAGGCACCCAGACCACTTCAGCTTAATGAAGTGGTCTGGGTGCCAGGTCCTTCTAGGGTTAACCCATTTTTTCATAAACATAGCAGTTTCAGAGAAACTGCTATATTTATGAATGGGTTAAGCCTTCCCCTATTTCCTCTAGTGGCTGTCTCATTGACAGCTACTAGAGGCGCTTGCGTGCTTCTCACTGTGATTTTCACAGTGAGAGCACGCAAGCGTCCATAGGAAAGCATTATGAATGCTTTCCTATGTGACCGGCTGAATGCGCGCGCAGCTCTTGCCGCGCGTGCGCATTCAGCCCAGGAGGAGGAACGGAGGAGGAGAGAAGGAGGAGAGCTCTCCGCCCAGCGCTTGAAAAAGGTAAGTTTTTCCCCCTTTCCCCCTTCCAGAGCCAGGCGGGAGGGGGTCCCTGAGGATGGGGGCACCCTCAGGGCACTATAGTGCCAGGAAAACGAGTATGTTTTCCTGGCACTATAGTGGTCCTTTAATGTTTCCAAACATTCCTTCATTGTCTTCCTCTTGCACATTTTTGAGGAAGATTTATATTTTGAGCCAAACCCAAACTTAAATAACTTTTGAACATTAACATGATCTTCTCTCCAACAAAGGAATTCGCCTGCTGATTTTATTCAGAGGCAGCGCAGCTGCAACAGATCCTGCCGAGACACGGCATGTATAGAATAACACCATACCATATTGCATTGTAATAACTGTCAGCATGATCAGATAATGAGTTCATAGTGCAGCATTTTTATGATCGGATTCATTCTTCATTTTTAGAATGCATAATTATAATATTCTTTCTTTGATGACAAAGACATTAAAGCTATAGGTCCATATTTACAATTTACCCACTGTACCTTCTAGGACAGGTGTAGGCAACATTTGGCACTTCAGATGTTATGGACTACATCTCCCATAATGCTCTCACAACCATAATGCTAGCAACGTATCAAGGGAGATATAGTCCCACAACATCTGAACCACCGAAGGTCGTCTATCCATATTCTGGAAAGATGTCACTCTGGGTCTTTTTTATGTCATTCTAATCTATTACATGAGTGTAATTTTATTATTATTATGTTATTATTTATACAGCGACAACAAATTCCGCAGCGCTTTACAGTGGGTGGACAAACAGACATGTAGTTGTAACCAGACAAGCTGGACACACAGGAACAGAGGGGTTGAGGGCCCTGCTCAATGAGCTTACATGCTAGAGGGAGTGGGGTAAAATGACACAAAAAGGTAAGGATAGTATTAGACTAGTGACAGAAGAGGAATCAGTCAGGTGCTATTAACAGTTTAATTGATACGCTTTTATGAAGAAGTGGGTTTTTAATGATTTTTTTTGTAGGAGTGGAGACTGGGTGAGCATCTAATGGAGGAGGGACGTGAGTTCCACAGGAACAGTGCAGTCTTGAAGGCGAGCATCAGAGGTGGGAGTCTTCAGCAGAGAGTAAGGGCCTAGACGGGACATACTTGTGTATGAGGGAGGATAGATAGGTGGGAGCAGCATTATATAGAGATTTGAAAGCAAGAATCAGAATTTTAAATTGAGCCCTATATATGTTACAGGAAGCCAATGCAGGGACTGACAGATGGGTGAGGCATGGGAGGTGCGGGCGGACAGGAAGATGAGCCTCGCTGCCGCATTCATTATGGACTGTAGCGGCGCAAGTTGGGAGCATGTGAGACCACTGAGAAGCGGATTACAGTAGTCAAGGAGAGAAAGGACAGTGGAATGGACCAACACCTTAGTCGCATCTGGCGTTAAGTAGGGGCAGATGCGCACATTGTTTTTGAGACGGAAATGACAGGATTTGGTGATAGATTGAACATGAGGCTTGAAGGAGAGGTCGGAGTCAAAGAGAACACCTAGGCAGCGAGCCTGCGTGGTGGAGCTGATGGTCGCACCGTTGACTTGGAGGGAGATACCGTATTTTCCGGTGTATAAGACGACTTTTTACCCCTGGAAAATCTTTTCCAAAGTGGGGGGTCGTCTTATAGGCCGGGTATGCTAATGCTGCAGCTGCCTGAGCACTCTATAGAGAGCGCTCAGACGGCTGCCGCACTGCCTCTCTTACCTCCTCTTCCCTGTGCAGAGTGGGTGGCCGAGCTCCTCTTCGTCCTGTCAGTGCGGCCGGGTACCGCGCGGTACAGGAGATTCAGTTACCTGTTCCCGGCCGGACTGAAAGGAAGTGCACACTGAGTCGACTGACAGGACGAAGAGGAGCTCGGCCAGCCACTCTGCACAGGGAAGGGGAGGTGAGAAGGAGGGAGGGGGGAGTAAAAAGAATGGAGGGTGGGGGTGGGGAGGAGGAAAAAAATGGAGGTGGGGGGGTAAAAGAATGGAGGGTGGGGGAGTAAAACGAATGGAGGGTGAGGGTGGGGGTAGTAAAAAAAATGGAGGGTGGGGGAAAAAAGAATGGAGGGTGGGGTGGGGGAGTAAAAATGGAGGTGGGAGGGACTAAAAGAATGGAGGGGGGGTGGGGGGAGTAAAAAATGGGGGATTAAAAAAAATGGAGGGGGGATAAAAAAAGAATGGAGGGGGGATTAAAAAGAATGGAGGGGGATTAAAAAAGAATGGAGGGGGGATTAAAAAAGAATGGAGGGGGGGATTAAAAAAGAATGGAGGGGGGATTAAAAAGAATGGAGGGGCTTTAAATGCTATTTCAGATTATCATTATTTAAAGGACCACTCTAGGCACCCAGACCACTTCAGCTTAATGAAGTGGTCTGGGTGCCAGGTCCAGCTAGGATTAACCCATTTCAGAGAAACTGCTATGTTTACAAATGGGTTAATCCTTCCTCCAATTCCTCTAGTGGCTGTCTCATTGACAGCCGCTAGAGGCGCTTGCGTGATTCTCACTGTGAAAATCACAGTGAGAGCACGCCAGCGTCCATAGGAAAGCATTATAAATGCTTTCCTATGCGACCGGCTGAATGTGCGAGCAGCTCTTGCCGCGCATGCGCATTCAGCTGAATGGGAGGAACGGAAGAGGATCGGAGGAGGAAAGCTCCCTGCCCAGCACTTGAAAAAGGTAAGTTTTTACCCCTTTCCTCTCCCCAGAGCCGGGCGTTAGGGGGACCCTGAGGGTGGGGGCACCCTCAGGGCACTAAAGTGCCAGGAAAACGAGTATGTTTTCCTGGCACTATAGTGGTCCTTTAATGTTTTGCTGTGAAGCTCTGTCTGCTCACTGTACATCATTGCTATTTTTCATTTGGTGTGCATTGGAAGAGGGGTAGTCTTATACAGCGAGTATATCCCAAACTCTATATTTTAACTGGAAAAGTTGGGGGTCGTCTTATACGCCGTAAAATACAGTAGACACAGGAGTAACAACACTTGAGGGAGGAAAGACCAGAATTTCACAGACACTGTTGCTGTTTCTTTTTTTCCCCTATGTAGTTATTTATTACTTGTGGTCGTTTTCTTGGTGGTTTTTGCCTTGAAAAGTGAAGAAGGTGTCTAAGGTGTGGAACACTTTCTCCTGTATTCCCCTGTGAGTGCATTATAGGGTTCAGTTTGCCGAAAAGAAAAAAAAAATTGCTGCCCTCAGAGTTTGATGTGCTTTTTATTTTAGTGCATGTTTATATTGTATATAAAGCTATAGTATTTTCAGGAATTTGGAGGAGTCTTCCTTGCAAAAGCCTACGCTTTATAAACATCCTGGGGTTTGTTTATTAAACATTATTATTATTATTATTATTATTATAAGTTGTGCTGAAATGAAAAATGTATTCTAAAACGTATTGGCCAAAGTAGCCATATTGAAGAAGTTCTTGTTTTTAATTAGTTTTTCCAACTTGGATAACAAGACTTTACATTTTAAATGTTGTATTCATTTTATCACAATTAACTTATTTAGTGAATTTTATTTCCAGTCTCCTGGGATAAAACACAATTTAAAAATAGATGAATTAATATCGATATATATGTTTCATCAAATTTTATTTCTGTAGTATAGTTGTTATCAAATCTCTAATGTATTGTGCATTGTAGAAAATATGGCATCTTTTACAAAACATTTTAACCCTGCCTGTTAATTAATAAAAACTTTTTAAAAAAAGACTATTCAGATGCACAGATTTAAGAAAAAAATAGAAATTTTCAGTCCATAAAAATTAAGCAATTGTTTAATGTTCCTTTATCCCAGTACGTGATTTCAGTCTCTAAAGAGCTTATTTATATCCAGATTGTATTTAGCTGTATTTCATGATATCTCCACTGGACAAAGAGTCAGATTCAGTAAGTCGCTCGGAGAATCTTAGAGTGTGCTTGTGTTTGCAGAGAGGATATCCTGACCAGCATAGCAGAAGCAATGTTTGCGTATCAGGAATCATTTCCTGAAGAGAAGGGTTACTAACAAGTGTAAAATAAGCCATCTCATTTGGAGTAGAGGAGGTTTGCAGATCACCAGGGATACCTGGATAGTCTTCTGTTTTATCAGCAGGTAAGACCTAACTTAGAACCTACACTAACTCTATAATCTACTATAGACAGCACTGCAAATTGTTCAGGTAGAGTGCATGTACTCCTGTACACACTGTTTTACTACGTCAGTCTGATGAAATAATCTGTTTTACAGTGTGTCGGGCAGTTAACAATGCTGCTATTATATATACAGACCTCTGTGCAGTCAGACTAAAGTAGAACCTTAGTTAACTTGTTTTCGGTTCTTTGTTTCCCAGTGTGAAAGAGTCAACACTGATGATATTTAATTGACGATAAACATGTTTAACCCTGGTGGAAATGCAGTGTGTTGTTAGGAAGTAGGACTCATAAAGACAGGACATCGGGAAATATCAGTGTGTCTAATAGAAATCCAGGACTGGGTCCTTTGTTCCATCATTACCATAAAGAATAAATGACCCAGTCCCAGTAAAAAAATAAATAAATATTTTCTTCAAACCATGTGTAGTTTTTATGTTTTTGTTAAATTAGTAGATACAATTTTACATATGATGATCTGAATATGAAAGGGGAATTTAGAACACATTGCTAGTTATAACTGATGCCTTAGATAATTTTGATTCCCCAATAATTATCGTTTGATTCTCATGCTTTGGGTTGGCTAAGCATTAAGTAGACATTGTTAACACAAAGGATAAAAATCAAACTATTGTTTATTGCGCATGCTTTGTCGCACCTGTTGGCACAAGCTTTTCACATGCAGGCATATTCTTTGCCTTTAAAATAACTGTATCACAGCGGAGAGACCAAATACCTAACTGCTGTGGTTATTATATCTGTCTGATGTAACATACAGCATGTTTTAGACAGTATATGTCACTATACCTGGACCTTTTATTGTCAGGTGTTATAGTTCTGGGATAGGCAACCTTTGGCAAGCCAGGTATTGTGGACTACATCTCCCATAATGCTTGTACAACCATAATGCTGGCAAAGTATCATGGAAGATATAGTCCACAGCAGGTGGAGTGATGAAGGTTGCCTGCCCCTGATTTAACAGCTGTGTAGTCCATAGTGAATGTCTGAATTTAGGACTGTGTCGGTACCATAATATGGATGAATTCTTTTAGTTTCTGAATAGACATGTTTTTGTGGGGAAAAAAAACAAAACACATTTTCTGCCTTTAAAAAAAGATCATATTATTCCTCAAGCCAATCAGATATAAATTATCTGCATTTTTTATTCTATAAAAACAGATTTTTTCATATTAAATGTATATTTGGTACATATCGGCTTAATAATTGAATATTAGTCATGAAGGAGACTTTCCTTGCTGCAGATAACATAAAAAATACAAAAGAATAATTTAAATTTAGAGTATTTAAAAAAATAATATATATATATATATGTATATATAATTATATATATATATATATATAGATATAGATATATATATGTAAACTTTTTTATAAATATAAATATATATAGATATATTTATAAATAAACTTTTTTCTAAATATATATATATATTTATTTATTTATAAAAAAAAAGTTTACGAGGAAGGATATAGTGAGATTTATCTTGTTTTCAAGTATGCCAAAATACAGAAAGAATATTAATACACAATATATACAAAATTTTTATGTTTACCGATGTGTTTCTTCACAATGTTTTCTCACAAAAAAAAAAAAAAATGTGCTGGTACTCACCAATAATTGTTATAACTGAGCTTGTGGACGCTATTGTGGTCAGTCAAGCATGTACAGTGAATTTTGAGCACAACAAAATAAAGAATTTAAAAAATATATATATATATACAAAATTTAACATAGAACAGGTAAGAAGTATATAATCAACCATGACAGGTGCATTCTGTTTTGAAATATGTAGAGAGTATTCTCTCAAAGGATTTCAGGCTGGAGGAAGATTTGAAAGTGTGTGGGAGGTCGTTCCATAATTCCATAAAACTGAATGTCCATTTGAGATGTCCAGCTGTATTTTTACAGGGCTTTATATGTGTATAACAAGACTTTATTCATAGTTGCCAACAGTCCCGAATCTGGAGGGACATTCCCAAATTCCATCTCTGTACAACCATGACTTTTTCTGTGGTTAAACGAAACATGAATCCCATCTCTTCAGGAAAGCTTATGGCCTCCCAGAGTAATCTCTACCTTACATACCTGTCTCCTGCTCTCTCCTATGGGACAGTGCTTTGCTCTCTCCTCCAGCTCTGCTTCACTCCTACTTGATATTCCATGTCCTAATGTTTCGAATTCCCTACCTCCTATAGTCTGTAAGCTCGTTTGAGCAGGGTCCTCTTCAACCTATTGTTCCTGTAAGTTTTCTTGTAATTGTCCTATTTATTGTTACATCCCCCCTCTCAAAATATTGTAAAGCGCTACGGAATCTGTTGGCGCTATATAAATGGCAATAATAATAATTATAAAATACGCTTGTGGTACAGCAGGCTTTATCATCAAATCTGGAGCACATTTCTATCATATGGTTTGGGCAGTCCTGCCTTGGTCTATATTTGTGCCAGTCATGGATAAATTGACACACCATTGTGCTACCCCTACCAACCTCTCTCCCATCAATGCTTAATGCCTAACAATGTTATTTGATCCATGCATAGTTTCATTCATGAAAAACATGAATTAAACTGCACCGCAACCTAACAGTAGGCACCATGCAACTGCTATAAGCTTCACTCACATTTGATGAATAAATCTATTCGCAGCAGAGCATGCTATGCATTCTTGCTTATAAACAGCTATAAGGTCCACCATTCACCCACTATACATTCACACATTATCTATTACAGTCAAGTTAAAGAATATCTTCTTCACGTGGCTTAAACAGTGGTGAAGGGCACAGTATTTGCAAATTCCTGCAGCTAAACTGAATAGGATGTCAGAAGAAAGGAACAGGGAGTTCTTTAGATCATAACCTGTTGAAGAAGAATGTGGTTAAGGAGAATAGGTAAATAGGATGTGGATTTCAGGGAGTTAATTTAGGTTACCCTGAGAGTCACTTTTAATAAGTGTTCACGTACAGTAAAGTCATAAACAACATATTTAACCTATTTAGGGCAGATAAGTTAAATAATTGTATCAAGAAACTGATTTCTGCAATGTTAGGTAAATAATATGCCTTAACAGATCTTAAACATGTCAAAAAATAGGTTTGTTTTTATGAATTATTTAAATTAAGGACACTGGCTTTTGGCATTAAATAATAAGAACAGAAATTGAACCATAGCATTGATAATAGCATATTTATATATGGGCATCAGCTCACAGATGGCTTAGTATAGTGAAAAGGGGGGGGGCGTGTCCTGACAATACATGTGAACGGTCGCATATCTCTTGTGCTCCCGACATCTCGATAAAAAAGAGCCGACCTTAACCCAAAACTCACTCCGATAGGTAACAAAAATAAGTCCTTGGAATCTTAGGACCATCTGGAACCAGGTTCCAGTAAAAAATCTGGGGAATTGGATCACTACTTCAGGGATAAAGTCACGTCAGCTTTGGATAGCAATGGGTGGCGGCCTCACTACCCTCCGATTCTCCACCACGAATCCCAGCACTCTCAGAATGATCAGTGGCATCTAATAAGATACTTACTACAGAATCTCCCCATCAAGACTGACTTAGCCTCAATGTTGGCGCGACTGGAAGCTTCTATGCAGGGTCATATCTCCAACCTCGTGAAAGATGTCTGCCATATTGGACACAGGGTGGGGGAACTTGAGGAGGTAAATCTTCAAACGCAAGCAGCGTTTAAAGCAATTGAACACATACAAGAGGCATTGGAAAACAAATGCCTTAATGTGGTAAAGAACACACCGAGGGATGTCATTTGCAGAGTGCGTTATTATAACCTAAAAGAAGACATTCTCTGCCAATCCAAAGACTCACCAGCTCTGCGGAAAAACAATATCAATATACAAATTTTCCCAGATCTGGCGAACGACGCTGCAGGGCTCTACGCCCAATTACCATGATACTCCAAAAAAGGAACGTTGGGATACTCGTTTTCTTTATCAGTACAACATGATGGCACAACTATCAACTATTAGATCAGTGGCGGATGTCCCAGAGTTCCTGCAACACTTTGACCTACCTTAGATGAGGATCCAGGACTGGTATATGGAACCCCAGCAGCTTGTGGCACCAGCCCAACCCCAGAGGCAGAGGTGGAAATCATCTTTGGCACAGAAGAGGTCCACTCCTAAACAGCAGTCCCAAGTACCTAGCACTAGGGCTAGGCATGAATCTACAACAACATGAAGCCCCCAAGTGGGTGATGAGGGACACACTTTTAAATTGCTCCGAGGATGTGAGGACTGAGAACTGGGGAGCAAAGACTTGTTGATATCCCCAGAAGGTCTCAGTGATTCTCACTGAGGTTGCCGTTTCTCATACTCCGCAAGAGATCCTAATGTTATATGGTATTGTATAAAATTCCAATTATTATTCCGTGGGTCGAAATACCCATTAGACCCAGGTGGAAGTCCTTTTACTCACAGCCCACCTTTAAGATACTGAGAGGGCCCTCTCCTCTAACAACTCTAGAATCTGGAGTATACCCCCTTCTTCCTCCTAGGCATAAGGGATTTTAACATACCCTCCAATCTCTCTGAGTACATGGCTAAGACTCGGGACCGACTCATCCCCTCCCTTCCTAAGAAGGTCGTTGTGGTTTAGCGGCACGGCTCAATTTCATTCTGGAGGGATGTCGCTTGGGGAAATATGCTAGGGCATTGGGATAAGGGACCACCTGTTTGTGTACATATGTTATGCTTTACGTTGTTATAGAAGGGAATAAGGGGCACATGGGGGCCGGAACTCCGAACTCCGTACAATAGGGACTACCCATGGGCACTGGTGTCTGATAAATCCATTGGTTCAGTAGACTGCACTAGTTGCACATATCTCTGGCTTTTAGAAGCCCCATGGCCGTTGGCTACGAATACCAATTGTAATTAAGATCGGATGTCGGGAGTGCTTGGGCTGATTTGAACAAGCTGTTGACTTATTTTTTATTTATGTTTTCTTTATACCATAGACCGAATTTAATGTTAATGTCTATCTAGCACTCCCCCCATATATACTTAGTACGAGCGGTGTATCTCTCGCATCTTTACTGCGTTTATTTTTGTTCATCTATCCCGTTTCCAGCTGGACGGAATTCGAGATTGACATCGACTTTAAATAGACGAAGACCACATCCTCCAGTATTACTACTGTTAGTAATCTTTTAATCAAATTATAAGTTCTTTGTTAAATTTCCATTTGGATTCACTTTTCATTTCCATTTTTATTCCTTTATCTGAGAGTGATTGTTGTACGGAGCTTAGGCTTCTGGATAGCGGGACACTAAACAGGGTAAAACTATGGCGAGAACCTTGAAAGTGGTATCATACAATGTTAAAGGTCTTAATTCCCCTGAAAAGAGATGCATGGCACTAAGGGAGTTTCAGAAAATGAAAGCTGATATTATTTTTGTACAAGAGACTTACTTCCGCGGAGCAGAAGCTCCCAAACTCCCCCACAAAAAATGTCCCTTTTGCTACTATAACAACTACTCAACAACTAAATCCAGGGGAGTGGCCATACTGATATGGGCTCACATAACTGATTACTCTGGGAGATACATCATATGGAAGGGATTGGTAGGCCCGACGTCCATTACTTTAGTTCACATATACCTCCCCAATAGGAATCAGTGAGCTTTAATTAGACGCATAATGACGGTGGTACGTAGACATGCAGAGGGAATTCTCCTAGTAGGAGTGGATTTCAACCTATCTTTAGATGCTCACTGGGATAGTATGGCTAGCATTCTGTGCACCTGGCCTCTTCTAGGGACCAGATGCATAAAGTAATGCATGATGGTCAACTAGTTGACTGTTGGAAAATCCTCAACCCGACTACGAAGGACTATTCCTTCTATTCTACCCCCAATCGGGTCCCAGCGAGAGAAGCTAAGGACAATACCACGAAGGTTATAGACCTGATACACTGGGGACAGGAGAATCCCGGCCATCCTGTTGGCCATTGATGCTGAAAAAGCATTCAATAGGGTGGACTGGCCCTTCCTGCTTTTCACACTGGAAGCCCTGGCTTTGGACCTAACTGGCTTAACTGGATTAGAGCCATCTATTCGAAGCCCACAGCACAAATTAAAGTGAATGGGATATTGTCTAACCCGCTACCTATCACGAATGGCACCCGACAGGTTTGCCCTCTTTCGCCCCTGCTTTTCATTTTAGTGCTAGAACCACAGCTCTAAGTGGTTCGCCAGAATCACAATATCAAGGGTATGAAGGTGAGCTTGCAAGAATTCAAAGTGTCCGCTTTTGCGGATGATTTACTTTTTACAATCACTGATCTGTCCCATACTCTCCCCTATCTATTACGAGACTTGACTAACTACAGCTCATACACTAACTTTAAAATTAATGCTGAAAAGTGTGAAATCTTGAATCTTACTGTAGAGCAGGAGGAAGCGAAAGCTGCAGAGGGACTTCCAATTCATATGGGCACAGAAGTGAATAAAATATTTAAGTGTTCACATTCCTGCATTCCCGTATGCATTATATCATTAAAACTTCCCCCAACTAATGAATGCAATACAAAACCGACCAAAAAAGGTGGGACAATCCTCACTTTTGTTGGTTGGGCAGAGTTAACATCCTCTCAATGAATATACTCCCTCTGGGATTATATTTGTTACACATGATACCTATAAATCTCCCTAAGAGGTTCTCCAGAACCATTCAATCCTTGTTCACTTCGTTCATATGGGCTGGGAAATGACCACGTCTTTCATACCACATTGTCATGTGGCCCAAACGTGGTATCGGACTCCCCAATGGGCTACATTACTATTACGCAGTCCATATGGCTCAAATTTTGGACTGGTCAATACAACCGTCCAATAAATTATGGATACATATTGAACAGTCCGCAACTCGAACTCCTCTACGAGCAATCCTGTGGGCCTTCACTGGATCCAGGGAATATCCAAGCCCCCAACACCGGACAATTGAAGCCACAATTTCAGTGTGGAAGAAAATAGCCCACCTCCCAGACGTTTCCCCAGATATATCGCCTAGGTATCCTATTTTGCATAATACTTTGTTCCTGGCAAGGGAAGCAGGTCTCATTTGTTCACTACAGGTTCACTTAGACAATTCCCCATATATCCCCTTGTACAGCATATGGGAATCAAGGGGGCAGAAATCTTTATTAGAGTTTACACAGGAGACAGCGCCCTTCATAGCACATGCTTTCCATTTTTTCCAGATTTCACATTTTGTCAGGACTCTCCATATCCTGGAAGTAGCTCTTAGGGAACACGCTGAATTTGAACGGCTGTGCTCAGGCACATCGGTGATAGCTAAACCGACTTCCAGATGTCTTAAACTGATCCAACCACACCTTCATCATGAACGACAAATAGGCCTCATCAGGGGTTTATATCTACATATAAATTTGAAACTATAGTCACTCTCCAATTCAAATTCAAAGTTAGCGATCTGTGATTCACTTTGATATCTATATTTCGTCTGTTGTTTCTTTTTTTTTTTCTTTTCTCGATGTTACTCTTTTTATGTTACTCATGTATCACACATCTACTCATTATAGATTCTAAGGTACTCTGTCTGTCCCAACTTTCATGCGGGTATATGTTAAGATAGCCTGTTTGGCTGGTCTAGAAGACCTCCTCTATACGAGCAAGCCTCACATAGAGTAATTACCCCTCAGGACACCCAGGCTTACGGTATATTTGTGTAGCGTGGGGTTGTGAATCCACACATTTTGTTGATTATGACACATTACACCTATTTTCAGCTTGTGGGACATGAGGAACTACTGACAACTATATAACTACTGTTATGTACAGAATATTGGGAATACTTGTCTATTCGTTGTCTGCCAAAATGTGCACATGTCTAGATGGACATTCATGTACTGTTTTGTAATATTTAGCAATTTTCAATATTTACTGGTCTCGTATTTGTCACACCCTGACTTTGAAAATACAATAAAAATAAATTGAATTAAAAATAAAAGTATAGTGAAAAAGTAATTTATAAAGCAGCCTTACCATCCAAAACCTACCATATTGCAGTTAGAGGGACACTCCAGGTACCTGACTTTGTAACCTTGTATCTGACAAAGCATCAATAAAAACATGATGTGCAATTTAATAATAATAATAAGAAGAAGAAGAAGAAGAAGAAAAGCATTGCAGTTGGCAGAGCTGACATACTCAACAAAACAAATATAATGTGCAGTACTGTACTGACTGTCCTATGATCTAAGCACATTTTACATATATATATACTATGGGAGGTAAAAATCACAATAAAACAAAAAAGCTGGAAAAAGATTCAGTCTGTAAGGTGGCGTTTATCAAGTCCAGGTCTTTATAAAAGTCATGCATAAGGATTGATGCATCAATATTTTCTATGATCCAATGTGAATTTTGGTGGCAAATTTCAATTTAGGATTAGTTATAGTATTTTGACTAAAAAGCCATTTTAGTTTTAGTCGTATTTTAGTCATCTGAATTGTTTTAGTTTTAGTCTGGTTTTAGTCGACTATATCTTAAATAGAGTTTAGTCGATGTGACTAAAATCTAATGAGTTTAGTAAAAGCCCTACCTGTCTATTTTGCCCATTCCCCAACCCCTGTGTCTCTTTGTGTCCTCCCAGTCCCTCTAGGTGTCTCTCTCCCAAGCCCTGGTCTTTCTCTTTTGCCCCTTCCACAGCCTCTATGTGCAGTGTTAATTTTGGCGGCAAATTTCTATTGAGTTTTAGTCATAGTTTTTTTTACTAAAATCCCTTTTTTGTTTTAGTCGCATTTTAGTCATCAGAATTGTTTTAGTTTCTAAATCTCACTAAAATCTAACTAAAATTGTTAGTCGACAAAATTAACACTGCTTTGATTAGCCCATAAAACACACACAAATATTGCTGTTTTTAAATGATGACAAATACAATAAAATTGTAAAGCATCCAGCCTTAGGCTGATACTTTAGGCAATTTTAGAAACAGCTCATACTTGGGTTTCCACTCCCAGGTACGAACAAAGGGAAATGTGAGCCGCCTAAGCATTTTATTTGGCCCCTGACCTTTTCCTATATAACAAAGTGTTTCCTATAATAGCCTATACATTTTCTGAAACAAATCTGTTAGATGAGTCTCATAATTCTTTCAGCAGATAAGTAATTCCTCACATTTGATCCCCATTAACTAAAGTTCAAGTGCACAACCTTCTATTGTAAAATTTTATGGAAAGAGAAACATCAATTTGAGGACAGATTCCTGGAAATTCCATAAATTCAATTATAGTACACACTGGTTTAATACTGTCCAGACCTTTAAGCTGTGCCTGTCTATCAAATACACTACTGCGTTTAACATTAAAAACTGGAGAACGCTGCTGGAACTAAAGGATTATGAGATATAATATTACAGTTTTAAACCAGACATTCTACATCCTAAGATAGGGGTGTTCATAAATGGCCTGAAGTAGATCACACATTCCTTCAATTTCCCAATGAGTCTCGTATATGATTTTATGTAGTATGAGACCTTCTCATCTTAGCTTTCATTCACTAGGAAGCACTTTGATATCTTCCCAATATGCTTACATTAAAGCTCAGAGTAGCAGTTAGCCACTTTTACCCAACATCTGACATCAATAATCTGGAAAAATTGCCCAGTATTTTCTCCTTTGCTGCTTAGTTTGCTTATATTCATTACTCCTCGTGGCTTTATTTTACCAGAAAAGTATCCCATGTGTATGAAAATGTTTGTATGTTTCTGGGAGTGTGGATCTGTGTGTGTGCTTGCATCTGGGACTATGAATCGGTGCCCTGCATGGAAGAAGACAACTAGGCCAGTGACCTCTGATTAAAAGGACACTATAGTCACCAGAACCACTATGTAGTAATTTTGGTGTACACACAAGAAGAGGCAACAGGGCTACACTAGTCAGCACTAGTGCCTCCTAATCGGTTACAGAGGAACTCAAGGGCATCACCCAAAGTAAATATGTGGGGGGTCCCTCCTCCATAAACGAGAACCTCTAAATGAATTAAGTATCCATAAATATGGTATAAGCCTTTGGTATAGACGAAAAATAAAGCGGGATGGGAAGACCGCCCACTTAAAGTGTGCGGACTCCCACTCCACCAAAAGAAGTACCTTTAAAAGTAAAAATTCGTAAGTGGTATAAACCTTTATTAAAGCTGAATATTAGGATATTAAAATATGAAGAGCCTAACTAGAACAGTAGGTTCTAAACCAAAACCCAAACAAATGTGACATTGTGAATAAACAGAGTGATAATACACCTTTAAAATTCTGGGTAGAGTAGTCTCAAAAGCCACTTCAAGTAGTAAGAGTATTTTAATAGCTATTATAAGTATTCTCAAATTTGAGTAATTGCATAGTTCAGTAGATCGACACCTACAGAGTATCAAGGTACAAATGATTAGTGTCTGTAGTGTATAGAGGTTGTAAAAAAAATGAAGCAAAACTAAGGAATAAACTGAATATGGTCAGACAGACAAATTAACAATAACAAGTGATATACACTGTATCAAGTTTGAATTGACCATATTAATCAAAGGGTTCACTATGGTGTGGACACGATGTACCCGGCTCCAAACAAAGTAGAGGAGGGGATGGTTGAAAAAAAAGAAAGAAGAGAGCACCCCCCCCTTTTTTTTCCAACCATCCCCTCCTCTACTTTGTTTGGAGCCAGGTACATAATGTCCATGCCATAGTGAACTCTATAGTGACATTACAAGCATGGGCATGTTAATAGCTATCTATCTATTTTTTTATTTATCTTATTCAGATGCCTAGAACCAAACCTTTGGTTAATTTTTTTTTTTTTTTTTAAATCAGTAACCACCTAATTGCCTCTTGGCGCAAGTTACAAAATAGAAAAACATAGAACACTCTCTGGGATACTCCATGACAAAAATTTCTGGAAGAAATACAACAAGCATATGATTGGTGTTTCCTCCTCTCTAGTCTTCATCTTGATAAAGACCCAGATGGGTCGATCACATTATCTTTTTAAAATATGTTGTCACAGTAAATTCCACTGATTGCTCTTTTTTCCTATTATATTATGCACTGTAAGTAGATGGCTGATTTACATACTTTTTAAACTTCAGAATCAGTTGAAAGCTAGTGTAGGCTAACATACGAGTTGTTGTTCCAGTATCAAAACTAAGTAAAACTACAAAGAGTCCTGAGAAAAAAAATTGTACGTTAGCTTCTCTGCTGTTCTATAAACTAAAAACTACAAATATTTGAATTTCTTCAAATAACCATATCCCATCTTTTTCAGATAGTCTCCTTATTTGCAATGGCTCAGATGTTTGCTGAATCAGAACATGAAGATCATCTCTCTGGAGATGGCTTTGATGAATACCACAACTGGACAGAGTTTTTGAACTACCTGAACAGGTCATTTTCTTTCTGTGACATTGACTTGGATGAGGGTGTAAAGCAGATCTTCCTTTTCATACTGTATCTCATTATATTTGTTTTGGGTTTGGCTGGAAACCTGTTAGTGCTATGGGTCAACTGGCAATCACGAAGAAGCAAGAGTTCCATAAATATCTACATCTTCAACATGGCTGTGGCAGATCTTGGGGTAGTTATTACCTTGCCATTTTGGATGCTAGAAACAATGTTGGAGTACACATGGCTTTGGGGCAGTTTTCTGTGTCGATTTACACACTATTTTTATTTTGTCAATATGTTCAGCAGCATATTTTTCCTCACAGCTTTAAGTGTTGACCGTTACTTCACATTATGTTCTTCTTCTGTTTTTTGGAGGCAGAACCAGATTCGGATTCGCAAGGGTCTTTGTATCGGAATATGGGTCCTGGCTGCCATATTTCCCATACCAGAGGTTGCTCATATTCAGCTATTGACAGGTTCTGAACCTGTGTGCATGTTCATGGCACCATTTGAGACATTTGATGAATGGGCTCTAGCGGTTAGTCTCTTGACTACCATTCTTGGATTCGTCATTCCTTTTATAATAATACTTACCTTCAGCCTGTTGACTGCCCACCACATCAAGACATCTGGAAGACCTGAGAACAGAAAGCACTGTCGACTCATATATGCTTACATATTGACGTTTGTTCTGAGTTGGTTTCCATACCACTTGACCCTGATATTACTAACCCTACATGGAAGTCACATCAACCTGCACTGTTATTTTGTTCACATTCTATACTTTTTTTATGACTTGATTGACTGTCTATCACTGCTGCACTGTGTAGCTAACCCAATACTTTATAACTTATTGAGTAAGGACTTCAGAGGCAAATTCATCAATGCAGTTGTTAAGTATATACCCAAGGAGAAAATGGCTGGTGGAGAAGTAAAAGAACACTCCACTTCCAGCACAGACCATTCTGTTGTTATCTCAAAGGAAAATGCTCCAAATGCAAACCAATCTTCTGTAAACATCGAAGGAACAAAAATGTAGCGTAGAAATATAGTCATTGTTATCTGCATATTCGTGCTTGTTGAAATATAAAAAAAAACAATGCCCTTACAATTCATCTGAATTTCCTAAAACATAATGCATTATGTGAACGTTCGTTAGTTTGTTTCTGCAATATCTGCCTCTTACATTACTGTGAATAAAGCCAAGACGAGGTCATTGGCAAAATCGAAAAAACATTTTTTTTTCTTTCTGGTTCTTATTGCCTACCTCCATTGAAAACAAAATAAAAGCATCACAGATATGTCACTAGAAGAATACTATAGATTCATCTCATATAGAAGAGCACTTAATACTTATATGAAGACATCTATTCTACATGAAAACACATTCATAGAATTTAATAGCATAATACAGTCTACAGTGGCCATATATTGAATTACCCACAATGCTTTTGTTATAGCACCTACCTATTATCTATGAACACCAAGGTGCATGTATTTATATGTTTAAAGTGTTGCATGCCTATTGTTCTGCAATTTGCTTGCTTTTCAATACCACAGTGGTGGTCAATATATTCATTTGAATGCATTGTTCACCATTCTGGTAGTTATATATAACTATAAGTTTAAAAATAAATGTAAAAATTATGTATTTTTACTGCACTAGAAGTAATAACCACATTTGTAAATAATCTGCATCACTGTTTCAAGCTTATATATAAATGTTTACAGTTATAGTTCTCTTTAAACTGTGAAAATCTATAGGGTGTGTAAATTTTATGACTCGGAGTTTTCATATTCACTGAAAATATATTTAATTAAGAGAGGGAAGAAAGTTAGACAATTTCAGGTGGACTTTGCATGATACAGAATGAGTCACGTAGGTTTAAAGTTGGCTATATGGCTCTATCCATTTCCCCAAACTATCACAGGTATGGAGGAACAGTCTTCAGATATTTTAAGCTATAGATATTTTATATGACATGTTTACTTTAAGGGGATAATCTGGGATAAAAACTGGATTGGGACTTTCACATGCTCTGGAAAATAGCATCAGAACTGCTTTGTTCACAAAAGGTCCAGTTCAAACTCAGAAACTACAAACTGAAAACTATTGCTTTCTCTAATTTGCCTTGGTAAATGGATATGTCATCCAACTTTTGACAGGGTATCTAAGGTTCTGGATAGAGTTAAAGAAGAACAAGGGTTGTCTTTGTTTTTATTGTTTGTACTGAGAATCTACTGAAATAAACAAGATTTTTTTTTAATGAGAATAACAGTATTTGGATATTGTTTTTTCTATCCTGCACGATGTGTTGGCAATGAAAACTGGGGTGGCAACAATGTAAGTTATTTGAAATCTGGTTCATGGTCCTCACAATTGCCCAAAGCAAGCGCTATGACTCATCCACAATTATATTAAAGGTATCACCAAGTGAAAAAATAAAACTGCAGTCATGTTTAATTATCATAACCTCCATTTCAAATATATAGCATTGTATAGGAATAGATGAAGGAAACCACTATGTCCTGAATGCAGAGTTATTTACACTTGATTCTTTTTTTTATAATTTATGTTATGTTACTTATACACTTATAACTAATATTTGTTGCCAAATTACATCTTATCTCCAGAATATTATCATTTCTCTGTTTTTAAGTACACATATTTCTGGAGCGCTTAGTGTTTGTGAGAGCACATACTTAAACAGCTTTACAAATGCTAATCACCTAGTGAATTCAGGATAAAGTTCTGGGAAAACGCCAAGAAGACACTAAACTTTGAACAGTCCTTAGAATACTATGACAATCCATTATTACAAATATGGAAAGGCTATGGCACAACTGATACTTTGTCTAAAGAAACTATGATTGGGTAGGGTGGATATTAGTCAAAGATGCAACCAAGAGATCAATGATAATGGTAGAGGTTAACTCAGTGAGGGAGTTAAGCATGCGTGGGATAGGCATAAAGCTATCCTAGACTTAAGATAAGGCCAGGGAGTAGTAAAAGTATTTAGAAAAATATTAACACATGAGAAGGATTTGGGAATTGTTATAGATAACAAACTAGACAACAATATGCAATGTTAATCGGCAGTTGCTAAGGTCAGTAAGGTATTGTCATGTCTAAATAGGGACATACATTCTCGGGATGAGAATATAATTTTGCCTCTTTATAAATCACTGGTAAGACAACACCTTGAATATGTTGTGCATCTTTAGGCACCTGTTCTACAAAAAAATATTATGCCACTAGAAAAAGTGCAGAGGTGGGCTACAAAATTGATAAAAGTAATGGAGCGTTTTAGTTATGAAGAAAAGTTAACAGATTTAAATCTCTTTAGTTTGGAAAAGCAGCGCCTCCGAGGGCATATGATAGCACATATAAATATATTCGGGGGCCAATACAAACCATTGTCTAGAAATCTATTCATAAACAGAACTATATATAGGACAGGAGGTCACACATTTAGATTGGAAGAAAGGAGATTTAGTCTAAGGCAAAGGAAAGGCTTTTTACAGTAAGAACATTAAGGATTTGGAATTCTCTTCCTGAAGAGGTGGTTCTATCAGAATCTATACAGATGTTTAAACAGCAATTGGAAAAATACTAGATATAAAACATAATATAGAGGGATTTTTTTTTAAATAGTGCGGTAATACCTTCTTGATCCAAGGAGATATCTGACTGCCATTGTGGGGTCAAGAAGGACATTTGTTGCTGGTTTCTTGCAAACTTAGATTCGCTTCAGACTGGGTTTTTTTGCCTTCTTTTGGATGAACAGCAAAAACAAATGTGAGAAAGGCTGAACTTGATAAACGCAAGTCTCTTTTCAGCTATGTAACTATGTAACTAAGTGGGACTCTAGGCACATTAACCAAAGATTGTTATACTGGCTATACAGTCTTTTGGTGCCATACCTGTTTTTTTCTTGTTTTTTTATTTATATAAACCTTTTCTGAGCAGTTTGAAAATAATAAATAAATAATGTGACCAAGCCCTCTTGCTACCATTCACATACTGTGTAAGTTTTACTGCTACATAATTTTTTCAATGCACTGGCCTGAGACTGTTATCTTGACCAACAGATTTCGGGTTTAAGTGAACAAGTAAAAAAATAAAATACAAAATAATAGCTGCAGTTTATTAATAGTAGTAAAATGATAGTTTGTGCAATAATAAAATTGAACATGTGCATTGCACAAATTAGACAAATGAGATCAGGCACACATACTGCTCAGATCTAGTGACCGTCACAGAATAGACTTTGTTTTGTGCATGTGGGCATTGTCACAATAAAACCAGAAATGGCCTTCCCCACATGTTTTCCACAGAGCTTGAAGCACAGAATCATTACATGCTGTAAAGTTATGATATATTTACATTGGAACTAAAAGCCCCACCTTGAATCAAAAAAATTGCTCATTCAATAGATTTTACATTTGTCACTATGCAGTCAGGTGGGCAGTGGCGTCACCAGGGTTAGTGTCACCCGGTGCGGTAACTCACGGTGTCACCCCAACCCTGTCATCCCTTCCCTGTCCCTTAGTGTTCCTCTTTCCCCCGCGTACCTGTCTCTTAGTGCCCCCCGTTCCCATTAATGCCCCCGTCTCTTAGTGTTCCTCTCCCTTCTCTTTTAGTGGTCCCCCTCTACCTGTGTTCTTTTTCCCTTTCCGCCCCTGTACCTTAGTGGCCCCCCTTAATGTTCCTCTCTCCCCCCCTAGTGTCTCTCCCCTTTCCCATAGATCCATAGTGTTCTTTCTCCCCCCATAGTGTTTTCCCCCCACACCCCTGTCCCATAGTGTTCTTTTCCCCTCCCCCTCACCTGTCCCATAGTGTTCTTTCTCCCTCCCTCACCTGTCCCATAGTGTTCTTTCTCTCCCTCCTCTGTCCCATAGTGTTCTTTCTCCCCCCTCACCTGTCCCATAGTGTTCTTTCTCCCTCCCTCACCTGTCCCATAGTGTTCTTTCTCTCCCTCCTCTGTCCCATAGTGTTCTTTCTCCCCCCTCACCTGTCCCATAGTGTTCTTTCTCCCTCCCTCACCTGTCCCATAGTGTTCTTTCTCTCCCTCCTCTGTCCCATAGTGTTCTTTCTCCCCCCTCACCTGTCCCATAGTGTTCTTTCTCCCTCCCTCACCTGTCCCATAGTGTTCTTTCTCTCCCTCCTCTGTCCCATAGTGTTCTTTCGTCCTCCCTCCCCTGTCCCATAGTGTTCCTTCCCTCCATTTTTGCCAAATGAAACATTTTCCAGTTAACTATGACATTTAGTCAGGCATGCTTGTATTTAACATCATGTAACAGAACAATTTCACTTTACAAATGAAACCATAGTGAGACCTAAACAACAATGCAGTAAAGTAACGTGCGGCTAATAACATTTCACAATGGCTTTGTTCCCAGGAATAACATTTCACAATGGCTTTGTTCCCAGTGTAAAGAACTATCTCCATTCCTGAATTAGCAGGTGGCACCCTGCAGTATGAAGAAGATATAAGGTATTCAAGAAAATGTTCCTAAATTAAGAATCACAATTTAGATATTTCAATGTTCATGCCACACATTAGCTAATGTCCCTCTCTCTCCCCTCCTGGTCCCCGGTGTGTTTCCTACCTCTCTTTGTGGCGTGGCCAAGTGGAGCGGACTGCGTTACAGGACCTTCAGTTTCCTGTACCAGGCCGGACTGACAGGAAGTGCTCCTTTCAGTCTGGCCGGGTACAGGAAACAGAGGTTTCTGTTCTGCGGTGTCCACTGCTCCGCTCGGCCACGCTACTGAGTGACTGGGAGGAAGGAGCGCTGTACATCCACCTCCTGCCGGTCATTCCAATATAGCTCCCCTTGGCCGCTTGTGCCGCCTTACAGATGTGCCGGCCTTGCCTCCCCCACACCCTGGTCCCCACCCCCCTTGTGATGCAACTGCAGGTGGGTATTTTTCCTCTGACGTGCCAAACCTACAGTGATTCAGCAGAATATCAGATGCTGTAATTTATTTCCACTGCTACATAGTGCAAGAAAGATGAATTTCACATTATTCCAAACTTGGCATTGAGCACATCATGTGCCTTATGTGGACATTCATCTATCTGTAAGTAACTTAGGTAACATTTTTAACCAATGAGGACCAGGCATCCTTTAAAGGACCACTCTAGGCACCCAGACCACTTCAGCTTAATGAAGTGGTCTGGGTGCCTGGTCCAGCTAGGGTTAACCCATTTTTTTATAAACATAGCAGTTTCAGAGAAACTGCTATGTTTATGAATGGGTTAAGCCTTCCCCCATTCCCTCTAGTGGCTGTCTCATTGACAGCCACTAGAGGCGCTTGCGTGCTTCTCACTGTGATTTTCACAGTGAGATCACGCCAGCGTCCATAGGAAAGCATTGATAATGCTTTCCTATGCGACCGGCTGAATGCGCGCGCAGCTCTTGCCGCGCATGCGCATTCAGCTGATGGGGAGGAGAGAAGGAGGATCGGAGGAGGAGAGCTCCCCGCCCAGCGCTGGAAAAAGGTAAGTTTTTACCCCTTTCCCCCTTCCAGAGCTGGGCGGGAGGGGGTCCCTGAGGGTGGGGGCACCCTCAGGGCACTATAGTGCCAGGAAAACGAGTATGTTTTCCTGGCACTATAGTGGTCCTTTAAATCAATCCTTCATGGATTTTCTCTGTGTAGTAACATCACTGCTAATTATAAAACAAAGTGGTCTGCTCAAAATGTGGTATATATTGCCTGTGTACCTTCCTTTTCAAAGTTTTTAACTGCTCTTGTTTGTGGTGAGTTGTGATGAGTCTGTCAGGTTACTGAATAACTTGAGTCACAAACATTCTCACTGCTTTACTAGGACTGCTTTTGTGAATTAGATTTTTATTTTGCAACAAAATGGTAGGCATGAGAAAGTGATATGCAGGTCCTCAGCTATAGATATGATTAGTAAAAAGAAAAGAATAGTGAGAAAAAACAAAAAATGAAAAAACGATTTTGTTAGCCACGCAAGGCAAAAGTAAGGTGCATAAACAGGAATACATATATCAAAGTCCTGTAAACAACACATACAGTAAGAATCCGTTAAAACAGGTACACCGTATGCGAATGTTGGGCATCCTTATGTCCTTAGGGGGCGGAAGTAAAACGTAAATGGATATACGTAACATTAACAGATACACTAACCCAAAAATCATCATATGGTACATATCCGAGGGACAGGGGACAGTCTTAGCTCCCTCTTACACAAGTGCAATTAGTGAAAAGCAAAAAGTTTAGGGATCGAACAAATCCCATCCCATGGAGCCAATATCAAGCTCTTTCTGCTGCAAAGGTAAATTACTTTAACACCCTCATAAGTACACTGTCCCATCAACCCAAACACCTATTTCACACTTTTATTGTGTTCTATACCATGATGACAAAACTTAATACACTGTTTACTGCATTT